TACTAGAGGAACCAGTTATACAAGAGGAACCAGGGATACAAAAGGAACAAGGGATACTAGAGGAACCAGGAATGCTAGAGGAACCAGGTATACTAGAGAAACCAGTGATACAAGAGGAACCAGGGATACTAGAGGAACCAGTTAAACAAGAGGAACCAGGGGTACTAGAGGAACCAGGGATACTAGAGGAACCAAGGATACTAGAGAAACCAGGGATACTATAGAGGAACCAGGAATACTATCGAGTAACCAGGGATACTAGAAAAACCAGGGATATTAGAAGAACCAGGGATACTAAAGGAACCAGGAATACTATAGAGGAACCAGGGATGCAAGAGAAACCAGGGATATTAGAGGAACCAGTGATACTAGAGGAACCAGGGATACTAGAGGAACCAGTGATACTAAAGAAACCAGGGATACTATAGGGACTAGGGTTACTAGAGGAACCAGGGATACTAGAGGAACCAGGGATATTAGAGGAACCAGGGATATTAGAGGAACCAGGGATTCTAGAGGAATCAGGGAAACTAGGGGAACCAGGGATATTAGAGGAACCAGGGATTCTAGAGGAATCAGGGAAACTAGAGGAACCAGGGATACTAGATAAAGCAGGGGTACTATAGTAAGCAGGAATACTACAGAAACAAGGGATACTAGATGAACCAGGGATACTAGAACAAGGAACCAGTGATATTAAAGCAAAATATTGAATTAAATTTCCCAGCCGTCGTTTATGTCTTAACCCTTATAGAAGGAATAGGAAATCCTGTAGTTGGCATAAGAAAAATGGAAACGGATACTGGAAATTAGAAGAAGATGGAACAGGGAAGAGTTAGTATAAAACTAGGATGGATAGTGTTGTATTATTCTTCACAAGGTAATAAATAATCAAAGATTATACACAAACCAGACAGAGGCTTGAATTAATGGTGTAAAAAACTTCTTTAATTAATACTTTATTCACTTCTAAACCCCTGATCATAACTAATTATTCTAATTAAACAAATATTCAACTTATCGGAATTGATCTTGACGTAAAGGAGGTCTGACAGGAGTTTTATCAAATGCAAGGAGCATAAATATGAGAATATAATAAATTCTGTTTATGATGGACAAAAGTCACGAAACACCTTTCCCACCCTTTCTTAAACACACTTTTTTCTTCCTTCCCCTTCCAGTAATTCTCCCTTTTTATTCCCCCTTCTTAATTCTCTTTTTTCATTCCCCTCCCCACTTAGGTCTCCTTTTTTCATTCCTCTCCCTTTTCCCATCCCTATATTTTCTTCCTTATATTCGGGAAAATCGGTTTCTTGGCATGTCCTTCCTTTCTTCCAAATATTTTCTCTATCCTTCCTTCCTCCTCTTTCTCCCATCCTTCCTTCATTCCAAATATTTTCTCCTATCCTTCCTTCCTCCTCTTTCTCCCATCCTTCCTTCATTCCAAATATTTTCTCCTATCCTTCCTTCCTCTTTTTCTCTCATACTTCCTTCCTTCTAAGTATTTTCTCCTATTCCTTCCTTCCATCCTTCTTTCCTACCAAATATTTTCTCCTATCCTTCCTTCCGCCTTTTTCTCCCATACTTCCTTCCTTCCAAATATTTTCTCCTATTCCTTTCTTCCTCCGCTTTCTCCCATACTTCCTTCCGATTGCTTCCTCCCCTTTCTCACATCACATCCCCCCCCATTATCTTTCTTTTCGGCCCTCTTTCTCCCATTATTTCTATTGCTCCCCTTACAAAACATTGTAAACAAAGATTCTAAATATTTAATTAAAGATTGAGGTAAATCTGGTAAACCTCTGAACAGCGGGGGGTTCTCCCCCCTACCCCCCCCCCCACACACTTTTCGTGGGAAGGATTGTATAAAGGTTGGTCTCTGAGGTTTAATTCAAGGGATTGATGGCTAATCTTCTTCTGTATAATAAAGCTCTTCGCTCTTATATATATTATATATATAATTCAGCTATGGCTAAAGTTTTTGGAGTAAACCCATAGGTACCCTGGGGGTAACCAAGACTAAAATAAATTCAAATATTTTTTTCAAAAATTGATTTTTTATTTTAAAATTCGATTTTTCGATTTGGACACTTCAGCTAGCTTGTATACAATAGTAAAAATACAAAAAAACGATAATGGGAGATTGCTACAGATTTCAATTCTTCAAAATGACACCACGGCTATCCATTGAAACAGTCCCTTTAAAGTGGATTGGTAACCATGGTAAGGTTGAACCGTATCTAATTGGATCTGACAGGAATAAAGATTTGGTTCTCTACGAGAGGAAGGATACTGTGTCTCAAATCATGCTTTAGTATTCAAGGATTTGAATCCATATAATTGTGTTTGAGTAATGAATATAAACACATAAAATTTTACTTAACATGCACTGTTAAAAAACAAAGATTACGCATTTTTTTCTAGGTTTTAAATTGATGAAAAAAATTTCTTTCTTATATTTCAAAAGTCTGGCCAATAACAGATTTGGTATTATAAATAGATTATGATTATGAAGTCCATAGATAAAAATAATTGTTTGTTTTTTATAATACATATTTGGATATTTAAAATCGTGAATAATGTTGTTAAATTTAGAATATTTTTGAAGATTTGGATAAAATACCTTTAAATCTTCTGATCTATTTAAACTAGCCTTGAGATGAATTAAATCCCAAATATGTTAAAAATTCTAAAAAATCAGATTTTAAAGATTCATGTCGAAACGTGACAAGGTCTGACAAGTTCATTAAAATGTATAGAATGAAACAAAGTATTTTCAACTTCTAGGAATAAGAATAAAACCAATAACATCTGGATTCTAAAATGTTTAAAACATAATTGGAACGTATCAAGGACTTCAATTTAGTATCTACGTATAGTAATTAACCAATCTCCATTCAACAATTTTCAGAATATCTAATTTTCAGTATCAAGGGCTTATATATTGTATTTTCAGTATCATGGGCTTATATATTGTATTTTCAGTATCAAGGGCTTATATATTGTATTTTCAGTATCAAGGGCTTATATCTTTTATTTTTCAGTATCTAGGATTTAAACCTTGTATTTTCAGTATCTAGGATTTAAACCTTGTACTTTTAGTATATAGATACCTTGTATTTTCGGTTTCTAGGATTTAAACCATGTATTTTCAGTATCTAGGATTAAAACCTTGTATTTTCAGTATCTAGGATTAAAACCTTGTATTTTCAATATCTAGGATTTAAACCTTGTACTTTCAGTATATAGATACCTTGTATTTTCAGTATCTAGGATTAAAACTATGTTTTTTTTCAGTATCTAGGATTAAAACCTTGTATTTTCAGTATCTAGGATTTAAACCTTGTATTTTCAGTATCTAGGATTTAAACCTTGTATTTTCAGTAGCTAGGATTTAAACCTTCTATTTTCAGTATCATAAGATTTAAACCTTTATTTTAAGTATCTAGGACTTAAACCTTGTATTTTCAGTATCATAAGATTTAAACCTTGTATTTTCAGTATCTAGGATTTAAACCTTGTATTTTCATTATCTAGGATTTAAACGTTGTATTTTCAGTATTTAAGATTTAAACCTTTTACTTTCAGTATCTAAGATTTAAACCTTGTATTTTCAGTATCTAGGATTTAAACCTTGTATTTTCAGTATCTAAAATTTCAGATTTAAACCTTGTATTTTCAGTATCTAAGATTTAAACCTTGTATTTTCAGTATCTAGGATTTAAACCTTATATTTTCGGTTTCTAGGATTTAAGCCTTGTATTATCAGTATCTAGGATGTAAACCTTTTATTTCATTATCTAGGATTAAAACCTTTAAATAGAAGTATCTAGGATTAAAACCTTTAAATAGAAGTATCTAGGATTAAAACTTTGTATTTTTAGTATCTAAGATTTAAACCGTTGTATTTTCAGTATCTAGAATTTAAACCTTGCATTTTCAGTGTCTAGGATTTAAACCTTTTATTTTCAGTATCTAGGATTTAAACCTTGTATATTCAGTATCTAAGATTTAAACCTTGCATTTTCAGTATCTAGGATTTCAACATTGTATTTTCAGTGTCGAGGATTTAAACCTTGTATTTTCAGTATCTAGGATTATAACCTTGTCTTTTTAGTATCTAGGATTCAAACCTTGTATTTTTAGTATCAGGATTTAAACCTTGTATTTTCAGTATAAAGACTACATCCTGCGCATTTTTTAAAGTAGGATCAGACTTAATTTTTGAAAAAATTTCTCTTATTGTTTGATTAAAGTATTTCACGTCTGCATACGGAGCAGTGTTAGGCCTGTAAATGTTACCTACAACTGTATATTTATTCTTCCCATTTTTAATCTTAATAAATTGTGATTCAAAAACGCGAGCTAATAAGATTAATTAATTAATCGGTTCAAAACAAAGTGATTTCTCAACCCAGAGTCCTACTCCTCCCCCTGCATTACTATTTAGCCCCTGTTTATCTCTTACAGTAAAATGAAGTGGATGATAACCAGTTAAATCAAATGAAAGATTTGCAGGTTTATTCCAAATTTCCTGAAGAGCAATTACAGATATAGGATAAAACCTGAGAATCTCAGGTGTTGAACGATACAGACATTTATCTGATGTTTCTGTCTCGAGAAATTTACTAAAAACTGTGTCAAAATTATATCAAAACGTATTTATGTAAAATATACGTCTGTATCGCGTGACCAGAACTCCCTCCAATGGTAGTGCAGTATACTGGTTACATGATACAGACGGAGACACGTGACAATAATACTTTACTACCATTGATTGGAGTTCTGGTCACGTGCTCCGGACGTATGAATAATATTATCAATTATATCTACTAGAACTCGGATAGGTCTCAATCAACTTGAGATTCTCGGGTTTCAGCCTATACCCCCTTCCAATTATCCTTCACAGTCCCTTAAAAAGAAATCTTCAAAATAAAAAAATAAAAAAAAGGATAAAAAAGATAACATTTGGACTTGTGCAAAATATATGGACAAATTAGAAAATGTTGGGGAAATTTATTAAATTCTTGAGATTGTTAAAATGTATCACAAAATATTATATTTCCATCACAAATAATTCAGTTGTTTGTTATTCACACCGTACGCCGACAAGCTAAATAGCTTAGCTCTTTACCCTTAACTGAAACTTTTAACGAGTTTGCTACATTTGTTAAAAATTAAAAATGATCTTGACTTTTGATTGGTTGAACAGGAAATTTTTCAGGCTTCTAATTGGTCGAACCCATGAATTTCAACTAATGAGATGTAGCATAGAAAATAAGCTTCTTTGTAGAGTACAAAAGTTTGTAAATAAACCAAAACAATTTGTTAAAACGATTAAACGAACATACAATTTTGAAATATTAACATTTTTTGTAGAGCCAATTAAAAGTCAGATTACGTTTCAAGTCTTAAATTAAAATATTCTTTCATGTATTCGAATGACTAAAAATGGCAACTTATAAAATCCATTGATTTGCTCATTTTTAGTTTAGATTCCCAGACAAGCTCCAAAGGAATTCAGTCTTCGCCACAAACTCAAAATTTTTAACTCCTTAATCTTAGAAATCTAATAAAATAAATATTTCGAAATTATTTTATTTGATCTAACAGAATTCATGGTTTAAAATTCGGTTGCAAGACTCAATTTTTTTTTATTTGTAAAGGATAAATCTTATTCGTCCGTCGAAATCGGAGATAAAAAAGATGACGTGTTCTAACTCTCAAGGTGTAAATTGTAAATATTGTTGAGTCAGGTTTTATTAAATAGAAATAATTATATCATATTAGGAGACATATGCTGTTTTAAGATTTAAGTGAAAACAATAACAAATTTTCAAGTAATTAAAATGCACAAATAACAAATAAATTATTTGGCACTATTTGTTTATTATTTATACGATGGAAAATGCAAGTTAGGCAGAGAACAGGTTATTTAGGTCAATAAACAACTCTAATCTAAAATATATAATTTATCAATAAAACTATTGTTATTTTTAAACATATTTAAACCAATAAATAAACCTTATTTTTTTTGGTCAATGGTATAAAATATCTGGGGCGTGAACGATTTGCATAAAATATTGGATAAAAGAAGAAAAATGTTTTTTTAAAATAAAATTATTTTAATATGTTATAAGACAGGGCATATTTTCTTATTCTAATTTTGATAATTATTATTTTAAAACAACGCATTTTCATTCGAGACATAAAAAGATAAAATTTGAAATTTGAACCAAACTAAATATTTTATTACTATACTCTAGATTAGATATAATTGTTGGATCCAATAATAAATAAACAAATTTCCAAATCAAAAATATTGGTAAATTTTCCGTATTTGTTGTAAATATATTTATCTATATTTCTTCCGTAACATGAGTTGAGGTAAGCTGTGTAGGAACTAGGCTGTATGTTAACCACCACATAACCAGGGGTTGCCAGATTACCATCAACATTATCAACCAGATCTTACGCTTTCCATGACTCTCTACTCCATGCACCTTAAAATATTTATTCTTGATTAATGCCTTCAATAAACGTCTAAGCGGCTGAACCTATTTGATTTTTTGTAGGACTTCACTTGACACCAGATCAGGTTTATGGCCGGCAACAATAAAAAATTTTGTCTTTAAAAACTATATATTTTTAGTGGTGAAAGGAACACAAAAAAGAGGAACCCTCATCGACTGTACAGATACATTTGATCATTTAATAACGTTAATATTTACTATTTAGTTTCCATACCTCTGGTTCGATCCTAAGATGAAGAGTTCTGAAGAGGAATATTGCTAGAGCTAGAGTGGAGTAGAGAAGAGCAGAATAGTATCCAAGTTTGGAGAGTAGGAACCCGGAGAATAAACTGAAGATCATTCCAACATACTTGTACATACTGAAGGCAAGGAAATCCCACTTAGCCAGGGTAGAAGTGATCGACATCACAGTAGTACACAGGTACACAATCTTAACAGTACATATAGTGTATTACAGAGGTACACAATCTTCACAGTACATATTGTGTAGTACACAGGTACACAATCTTAATAGTACTAGTGTAGTACACAGGTACACAATCTTAACCGTACATATAGTGTAGTGCACAGGTACACAATCTTCACAGTACATATTGTGTAGTACACAGGTACACAATCTTGACAGTAAATATAGTGTAGTACATTAGTTCACAACTTAACAGTACATATAGTGTAGTGCACAGGTACATAATCTTAATAGTACATATAGTGTAGTAGACAGATACACAATCTTAATAGTACATAATAGTGTAGTAAACAGAAACACAATCTTAATAGTAAATATAGTGTAGTACACTAATTCATCTTAACAGTACATACAGTGCAGTACACTGGTACACATTCTCAGCAGTGCATAATACTGTAATACAAAGTACATAAACTTTAGTAGATACTTACATACATATTTATACATAATTTTGGCATAAATTTTCCTATAATATACAAAGTCAAAAAGACTATAATGTATATATAGTACATTAGCACACAACATATGATGAAATATTAGGAGGGTTTGATTGATTTCAACTTTGGAAAAAGAGGAGTTAAAAAACTTAAGCGTTGGCCCTCAATCCATTTCATTTCTTCCAGGGGCGTACACAGGAATTTGTACAGGGGTCTTAAATTGTCTTCTTCTTTCTCAGGGGGGAAGCCCCATGGCACCCCCCCCCTGTGCACGCCCTGATCTCTTCCGTATCCTTTACCGGCTTTAGTATAATATAGCACAACGATAAAGAATGAGATTGTAAAACGTTTTTAATATTTCACTTAAACCCATTGTTAGGATTTTATTACAACTCAAGTTCAGTTAATCAACCGTCCTTTTCAGGATACCTCCTAGCATACACGAACCAGATTCATACATTCATATATCTTCAACAGGATACAAATAGGATCCAGCTCATTTCAAGAATATATCCAGGGGGTGGAGGGCCTCTCATTTAAGGATATATAAGAACTATATCCAAGATTGTAGACAGAAAGAAAAATTGGATTTTTAAAAGAACTATCGACGTAGTTTCGAGCAACTCTCAAATTAAAGCTAGGAAACCTGATTCACAACTGTACCTTTAGAATACGCTTAAAGATAATATATGTAAACCTTCATTTCAATAAAAACATTAAGGATATCCTTATTTTCTATCTAGGAGTAATTGTAATCAACTGTGGCTTCACTGCAGATGTGAAATGCAGATTTCTGCAGCTGAGAGAAAAGAAGGAAATTGACCGAATTTAAAGTGAGCCCGTTGTGTACATTCAACTATTTAAATGTGAAATTACGTTTACAATTCCGTTGAATAATAGTATCTCGAGTATCCTGTACCCTAGAGAGTTTTATGCACCTGTTTAATGTGAAAAATCATTTATGTTTACAAGTATCAATTAAATTCAATAAAATTGATATAAAAAATTATTAAAAAAAGTATTCCTGTCTACTATTCAGTTTATTCTAGAATAAATGTACTAGACATTGGAAAACTTGTAGTAGTAGCTAGGGATATAATATAATATCTAAAGAAATCTAAATAATACTTGGAGATGGGACATCTTGTAGTAATATCTAGGATATCTGAAAGAGTATTTGAGGATATCTAAATAATACTCGGACATTGGAGATCATGAAGGTACATGTAGGTACATCTAGGATATCTGAGGGAGTATTTAGGGATATCTAGATAATACTTGGATATTGGAGATCATGTAGGTACAACTAGGATATCTGAGGGAGTATTTGAGGATATCTAAGATAATACTTGGACATATGACATCTTGTAGTAGTATCTAGGATATCTGAGAGAGTGAGGATATCTAAGATAATTCTTGGAGTTTGGACATTGAACATCTTGTAGTAATATCTAGGATATCTCAGGGAGTATTTCGTGGATCAAATCAAATCATCATGTTCAGGGATTGCTTTGGGCTCCCGCATACAGGGAGAGGTTTCAATTCACTGTGTACTTAGGTTTTTCAGCCTGGATCTATATAAAGTTTGTGTTCCTATTACGCTTGCTCGACTTGAAAACATTAAAACCCGATAAGATCCCAGCAGGGAGTATCTAGATAATACTTCGACATTGAACATCTTGTAGTAATATCTAGGATATGTCAGGGAGTAATTAAGGATATCTAGATAATACTTCGACATTGAACATCTTGTAGTAATATCTAGGATATCTCAGGGAGTATTTCGATGATATCTAAGAGACATATGACATATTGTAGAATAGTAAGTTATCAAGAGCATTATTTTTTTTTAGTAAATACAAATTAATAATTATAGTATACCAGGATCTCTAGGAAGAGTGCAGTAAGAGCTCCACTAGCCGTGGTTGCCAGCATCTCAGGACTGAACCTCTCCTGGACCCCGAGCATGTATCCGACCACGAGAATATACGTCACGAACGCCATGCTGGGTATATAAAGATCTGCGGCATTTAACTCAAACCTGGGCTGAACTGGTTCGTCTTAATAACAAGATGATTAAAACTGTCCAGTCTGAGAATATGAGAGCAGGGAGTACCCAGCCCTGGAACTAAGCACTGATTGAAATGTCGGGTTTAAAATTAAAATCTCACCATGATTATATCTGATGGACCAATCCTTGTGTGTGAATGGAAAGAGAATAAGTCCAAGCTTCTTGCTCACATAGGAGTTATCCACGGCAAAATAATACTAAAATATTTAGAAAAGATTAAACCTTAATTATTAAAGAAGTTGAAATCATCGTCTTATATTAAAAAGAAATTCATAAATGTTTCTTTTTCACGAAATATTCACAGCTAGGTTTAAATTGGATTGGTAACGGATTAAAAGAAAATTAACAATAACAGACTTTAATTTTTTATTGGGAAAATTATGAATATTATTTTAATTTTGATGCGGATCCGGATCCTAAATCCGCACTAGAATAAAATGAATTTGGATCTAGGTCATTTACATTTCTATAACATTTTCTGATTTTCTGAACAAAATAAGAGTTTTTCTTTATTTTCTTTATTTTTATGCTAAATCTTGATGAACCATTCAGAGATAAGGAAATTTTTGATATGTTAATATTTTGACCCTTGGGTCAGGATCCGTGGATTCGAATATTTTGGCGGATACGGATCCAAATAGCCAAAATGTTGCGGATCCAAAGGATGAAATAAACCAACCTTTAGCTGTCCAATTGAAACATATTTATCTAGATTCTTCTTAATCTCCTCCTGACCCTTTCCGACGAAGTCCCTCCCGTAGGACATGGCGAGGTTCGTGACCATGGGGTCCTGAAGCATTCCTGTACCAGGCATCAGAAACTACAATTAGAATATAACTTATAACAAATTAAGTGTTCTACGTTTAACTTGTCTTTTTCTACAGTCATAATCAGAAAAGCCCGGAATACATTGAAAATTAATCAGACTACTTTACATATAGAGGTTTCAGATAAGAATGGCCGCCCAGGGTGCTAGCGTGCACCGGTCCTAATTATCCCTGAGAAGTGAACCAAGCGGGTGTTAGCCGTGTCGGATAGATTGTCTTTAGACATTCAGATCTTTCTGAAAAGCATAGTATTGAGAGTTTCAGTCTCCCTCTAATTAAAATTAAAAACATTAAAAAATTAAAGTTACTAAAATGGCAGAATCTGTTTGAACAAACAATAGTGAAAAGTGATAAAGAACAAACATTAGTGAAACGTGATAATGAACAAACAAATCAATAGTGAAACGGATAATGAACAAACAATAGTGAAAAGTGATAATGAACAAACAATAGTGAAACGTGATAATGAATAAACAATAGTGAAACGTGATAATGAACAAATAATAGTGAAACGTGATAATAAACAAACAATAGTTTAATTTAATTGGTTTAATTGGTGTGATTATGTTTATATATCACGGGTGTGATAATTTAAAACATCTCTTTTCCGACTTCATTGGCCGTTCAGGAATTCAGCCAGCTATCGAGCTTGTTTTTGAAAATGTTCAGGTTTCCAACACTTTTGATTTCATATGTGATATGGTGATAAGTGGTAATGAACAAACAATAGTTAAAAGTGAAAATGAACAAACAATAGTTTTGAAAATCTGAAAAAAATGAAAATTGGACTTCAAAGAGCAAATCTTTAATGCTTTTTACACAAAATCCCCCCCCCCCCCCAATTCGGGGGGGGGGGGATGGGGGGGGGATTTTCAATATAATAAACACCCTTTAAACTTTCATTCCATAAAAGCGTAATAAAGCCGAATAGTTTTTTTTATATATTTTGCCGACTTTGTACATTAGATATGTCACCTGTTGATGTCCTGCGGGAGCTTGTCCCTGCGATATTCCGGCGGGAGTTAATCGTCCTCCCGCCTGCGGTATCCCTGTAGGGTTCAAATACCCTGGATTGTACTCAGATCCCCCGTATGTACCAAAGCTGAACAAGAAAATTAATTTTATTATAATATTTTTTTCTTCTAAAATGGCTTATCCCACCTCAAATTGCTTATTTTGCTTTGATAATAATGAAACTAAAAAACTGGAGAAAGATTAAATTTGTTCATTTCCACATTTTCCGAGACAACATGAAAAACCACATCAATCAAAATAAACTTCAGAGAAAAGCCGACCGCAATGCTGTGGTATATAAAAAGATGGTGCTAAAAAAATGAATACGAAAAGCTGTGCCACACTGTTGTGGGGTTATTAAATCAGTAATGAAAATAATTTGTTTAAATTTTGTATCGATTTTACAAATAATGTGATTTGAAAGAAAGAAAATAAGCGCAAAGAAAAAAGAAAAAAAGATATAATATCAAAAAATTAAAGTATTTGATCAATACAACAAAATAAATGCGATGCCATTTAAAACAAAAAGCAAAGAACCCATCCTTTATATTATTTATACGTACATGCAATGAAATCGCCTTATTTTTACTATCAGATGAATAACAAGAAACTTCTATTGCAGATTTATTATGTTAACCACTGTAACTCCTACTTTAGGGGTCCTTGGAGTAATCCAATAACTAAACTAAAAAACCTTAACATTTCTGAGGTTCTCCTGAAGTCAGAACTTAAGTGTTATAAATCAAGGGATTAAGCATTGATCTCCATCTAATGTAGATCTACGGATAACTTTAATTGAGGGATCAAGCATTAATCCTAAAATTAAAGTGCCCAACGTTGGATTTTGAGATCTAACGTTTTAGATTACCGAAACTCCACACACAAGTTCCAGCCTCTTGACAACAACCTTCTCATTTTAAGGAATGTTTAAACAATTTCTTGCAAATCTTCAAGTAAAGTACCCTATAGATAATTTACACATCCCCCAGTCTTTCTATTAGTTTCTTTTGTAGAAATCCACGAGTAGCTTTCTTGAGAAAACGCAGATATAAAATGTCAATCTATTGTTTGTTAGAAAAAATGTATTCTTCTTCTACCTTGAGTCCTGGCCGTTTCCTGGTAGTGGAGAGCTCTGATACTGGTTCGGATTGTAAAAGGTTTGCTGAACTGGATCTGCAGGTTTCTTAGCTGGATACCCACCGTACTGGTCATACTGAGCATCATACTTGAATACAAATTTATATTTTTATTTAAACTTATAAAATTAAAACAGAACTGAGATTTTTTGATGAATTGATCTCTGATTTGTCAAACCTGACGATTAAACTTCCATTCATTCAAAAGTTCTTAGCTCAATATGATTCATTAAAAATATTAACTAGTGGGTAGGTTTTCACCAAATTTTTGCAATGAAAATGTGGCATTTGTAGAAAATTATGGAAACAATTGAAAAAATTCACAACTGTTGACTGAAATTAATCTAAAACTTTAATTAGCAATTATGCTATGACCTTCTGAACAATGAATGAAAAGCATCTGTAGCCTATGTTTAAAACATAAATTAGGAAATATTACAGTTTGATTTCTTCAGGGGTGTAGAGACTTAAAATACATAACTTATTAAACTGTCAGCAGAACCAATAAAATGATTGACTCGATGACAATGTCACAATTTTAATTGGACTTTCTGAGGGTTTCACAAAATGAACGATAGTCTTCTGAAATCTACATAATTCAAAATGTTATTCTCCACAAGTTTAATTTAGATTCATAAGATAAAATATTTTACTGTGACAGAAGGCCCATGAAGAAAAACTAATCGTTTATTGAAAAATATAAGAAATGCAAATAATAAAGATACAGAAAACATATCTTCTGTCAGCTACATTTTGCCTAGTCACATTTTGCCTAGTCACATTTTGCCTAGGTAACAGTTTGCCTAGGTAACATTTTGCCTAGTAACATTTTGCCTAGGGTAACATTTTGCCTAGAGTAACAAAAGAGCGAATTTTTTGCCTAGTCAATAATTTTTTCACAAAGAAATTTTCATCAATCCGAGATTTTTTTTTCAATAATCCGAGATTTCTTTTTAAAAATCCGCAAATTTTTTGGCAAAAACTTTGCAAATTTTTGAAAATCATTCAGTTTCCTTTAACCCAATCAGAAGGAGAGACACATTGAAAATGGCTCCCATGATAACTGCAGGGCTTACAAGGCGGGGTAAGCCAAACTACAGAGATAAGAATAACTTCTATTATGTTTTCAATGGGAAGAGGGCAGAGACCAAGAATTGGCGCTGTTCCCAGAGATCATGCACTGCAACCCTAACAAGGAGGATATCTACTGGAATCCTGGTAGGGGATGTACTCCCAACTCATGGCCATACCAACAAGCTGCTGAAGACGAAAGCTAAGACCACAGAAAAGGCTGTGATTGAGAAGTATGCCAATGTTCAAGGAAAGCAGAGATCAAAGGACTCCAGACAGAGGGTGAAATTTGTTGTAGAAGCTTTCCATACCATGCCGAAAGCTGATTATATCCAAACCCTTGCATATGACCAGCAGAAGATAAATAATGATAAATAAAGATCACTTGTATTAATTCCTATGTATACTCCATGATTATGTAAAATGTATTTAAAAAATATATATATATATATCTGATGCATAACCATATTTTATCTTTTGTAGAGTGACAGAAATGTTAAAATTGCTGTACAGCTAAATTCAATTCAATTTATTAATTTTAATTCATTAAAATTTATCTGGTTAAACTTTAAAAAAAATGTTTAATTCTTGACAAAATTTGTTTTTTTTATAAAAGATTATTGACTAGGCAAAAAACATGCTCTTGCGTTACCTAGGCAAAATGTTACCCTAGGCAAAATGTTACTAGGCAAACTTGAACTAGGCAAAAAGTTACCTAGGCAAAATGTTACCTAGGCAAAAGTGAACTAGGCAAAATGTGACTAGGCAAAATGTGACTAGGCAAAATGTGACTAGGCAAATTGTGACTAGGCAAAATGTAGCTGAGCCAGTTTGTCTAATGTAATGTTAAAAACTTTAAAAATCTAAAACTTGATAAACCCTCCTGAATTTTGAACATACTTGAAAAATAAAAAAATAAAATGTAAAAAACGAGTAAAAACTATATCTTAACACTTTTCGCAATAGTGATAACTTACTTATTATCCTAATCAAAGATGAAGATCTTTGTAATAAATAAATAAATCAATAAATAATGAAACAAATAAATGGATGATTCGGTGATATTTTTTCTTTCTTCTACAAACCTGATAATTATCCTGATACTGAGGATCCCACGACATTTTATTCTGAAATCAAGAAATATTCAATAGTTTAATTTGGCGCCAAACCAATATTTTCATCATTCCGCAGACCTTGTACAGTTCACCACCGAATATCGGAGATAAACATTCCTCGCTGCGATTACTCGAAATTATTTCTACTCTCTTTAACAATTTATCGGCGGAATTTCGAAAATGCTGAAATTCCAGGAAACGATGAAAATCTTGAAGTTTCTTTCTCCTTAAGTTTTCTCTCTTCTTCCAACCTTAATTCTTCTTCAAGTTTTCGCTGATTCTCCCTACAGACATGTTTAGATTAGTTTAAAAATCAACAGAAGAATATCCAATGGAAAGAATTCTAATTAAAAGAATAAAGAAAGAGTATCCTCCCCGAAAAGGAATAAAGAAATTTACTTAATCTTTAATCTTAGAGATGAGGGATAACATTTACTGAATTTTTGTAACAAATCAGAATTTTCTAATTTTGTCTTTTTTCGCATATTTTTATGCTAAAACTCAATAAACCATTCAGAATTCAGGAAATTTGTATTATCTCTTTTATTGAATTGTTCGGTTTTGAGGTTTGAGTTAATTTTTTCTTGCAGTTTTTTGTTGATATTTTGCCCCGTGGATCCGCATATTTTGCGGATCCGGATCCAGGAAGCCAAAATCTCGCGGATCCGTTTAAGTATTGAGTTTGGGTCCGGGAAGATGATTTTAATGATCTAAAAGAAAAAGAAGAAAGCATGAAAAGATAAAATCGTGAGAAAAATCGAAATAAAAATATAAAGGAATGTGAAAGTAATATACCTGAAGGCTGCAATAGGATCTTTAAACTGTCTGTAGTAGGTCAACACGTCCCTAACATCCTCTAGACCACTGTCCTTGATCTCATGCAGCAGCTGAGCTAAACCGATCAGGTTCCTGTCCGTGTTATCTCCGTCCCATTTCTCCAGGATCAGTGCATTGTCAGGGTTCGACTAATACATTTTTTTAGGGTATTTATTATGAAGTAATGATTTTTACAAAATTTGGTTGGGGGGNTTTATCTATTTTCTCCAATTTAGTGAAAAGAAACCCTAAAAATTCATTACTCACAGAAAAAATATCTCCCCTCAAAGAGAGGTAATTATGTATCAACTAAATAAATATATTATACTTGATAAAATTTTTTTTTAGCAGAATATGTCAAAAAAAGGCCATTGGTTAAAAATTAAATAAAAGGGAAAAAATAAATATCTTAAGGTTTAAAAGATACCTGAACATGATCCTTGTTCCAGTCTATAACAATAACCTTCCTCAGATCTCTGTTAAGACTAGAGAGATCTTTAAGATGTACACCGTTCACGTATCTAGTCGCGTCTCTGTACAACTTGTACATAATGTACTGCTGCTGGGGATCCATGCCAAGTATTATTGGGTAGAAGGTCATACTGTTCTCCACAGTCCAGACAACCACCTCGAAGTTGGGATATCCTGAATGAAAGAAATGCTTTAAGGAATATGTATTTTTAGGCTTCTCTCCTGCCCCTGCCGACTTCGGAGTTATTTTGATATTATTAATACGCAAATTCATAGTTCTCTTTTTAACCTAAAGAGATAAAAATATAAAAAACAATTTGTAATTATATAAACAACACAATGAAGAGTGTAGAATAGGTAAAAATTGAGTGAAATAAATTTAGTATTCACAATATATTTACGCAAATTTGTCCCATATGTTTTTAGTAAAAGGGTATATATATATGATAGCCGGCCGTTTCATCTAATTGTCTTAGCGGCAAATGTTTGATTTTACAGTTCTGATAACTTGCTAAAGCAAACATATTTTATGTTGAGATAGGGTTTACCAAAAATTGCATATTAAAAAACCAAAAATTTCCACAAAAATCAATTTAAACATCCCAGGGCCAAATAATGTGTGGAACTGTAATGTATACATTATACACATGTACACTGCAGTGGTTGATGTAAACAAAAATTGTACACATATCCAGTTTTTCAATAATAGTCATGGAGGAACCATGTTGTTTTGCTATCGGGAAACGCAGAAAAAAATATTCTCCAGGATGGAGATTGTTTCCGGTACTTCAAGAATTCTACCAGAAAACAAAAATCTTACTGGAAGTGTGTAATACCAAGCTGTAAAGGTAGAGCTATCACGAGTGGGGATTTCATTGTAGAAAAAAACACACAGCAGATAGTTCTCTTGTCAGGTCCAGAAAAATTGAGACAAACCTGATTAAAAACTGCTCAAGTATTTTGAGAACACTTCCATTGGAAAGGAAACCAAAGGCTTCAGAAAAGCCCCGATGTTTCCTTTAGAAATTTGGAATAATGAAGCCACTACAAACAACCAAACTGAACGATGGTTTAGAAGTTTTACAGCTGACCAGCCTGGAATACAGACTGCAGGGAAGTCCTTTTTAGGTCTTAGAAGAGAAGACTGGCTAAACTTCTTTTCAAAGAGCCCAAATACAAGACCTGCACTGATCCGAAGCCAGCTCAATCGACAAGAATTCTTTAGAGAAATATAAGATTTAAACTAATTGTAAATTCTTTTGATGTATGCAATACAAATAATCTTATGGAAATAATAAATAACTATTTTTTTGTCAAATTATTAATGTTATTCATTGCTGTAGTTTTAAGTTCTAATCTAATCTAATCTTGACGAAATTATGTTGTATTAAAAAAGCAGCCCTGACTGCATTTAAGTAATTTGCCGCCAAAGGAATTAGGTGAAACGTCCGGCTATCCTATATAAATTAGCAAAGCAGTTATTAATGTTTTACCATAAAATTTGTAATATGTATTTGTGTTTGACAATCGCAATATTGATGTTTCAACGAGGATATTTTTGTCATCTCTATTTCGATAAAGCCTTGGACGGTTGAAATATTAAGGGAATTAATGAATGAAGGTGCAATGCAACCTATTTACCTATCTGAGATAGGAACATGTCAAGTCCTGGTCTTTTCTGAAACCTCCATCCGTGTTTATGAGACCAGGTTGAGTGAACCAACAGGCCGGTTAGTTCTACGAATATATTCAATTTATCAATCAAATTATTTACATCATTTTGGATCGTGATATATATTTAAATTACAATTTCCCGGACTTCCCGGAAATCTAAAAAGAACAAATTATTTTTAAAATTGTATGTTTTCGATTATACGGCGTATTTTGACATTATAAGCTTGGAGAAAATCTTAATTATTTACAACTAATTTTCAGTAAAGTTAAGGGAATTTTACTTTACCTAGGGTTCCCTAGACCAATTTTGCATACAATACATCCAGAGCTCAGAGAGGGGGTGTTTTTAAGTCAAAATTGGTCGAAGGAACCCGTAGATTCCCCCAACAGAGGGAGGTAAAGTTACTTAGCGTTCCTTGGGACAGTTATGTAAAATAATAACCCGCTCTAGGAAGTTTTCGTAAAAAATTGCGCATTTTCATCTCTAAAGACGGTAAGTTGTGTACAACTACTTTTTCGGGAAATTAAATTTCTTACCTAACCATGGATTCCCTCGACCTAGCTCTTACAACTATTAGAATAACATAAACTATATTCTTTATTATTAAGTAAACTAACCTAAAACAATTGTGTATTTTGGTTGATAGTATGGAGGTTCCAGTGGATCAGGGAGCAATTTATCACTAAACGGTTCCTCTATTAACTTCTTGGTGGTGAAGATCTTGTTCTTGAGTCTATGATAGTACTGGGAGGGGAAGGTGAGGTTTGAAAACTCGTCCTCAACATTATTACCGTGTTCATCCTGATCAGGGAGAGAGAATAAAACCGCATTACCGATTAGACTACCGCCCATCAATACTCCGAGGAAGATATATCCATACTTTTGCCATCTCGGCATAGGTTCTTGGGGTTTCCCTTCGCTCTTCTCTTCAGATTTCTTGGTTTCTGCAACCCTAGCGGAGAGAATCTCGTCGGCTAGGGAAAGTTTACTTTTCTCTCCTTTTTCGGTGTGAACCCCTTGGGAGAGAATAGAAAAACGTGGAACCTGGTTAGGTTTGATGAGTAAACTAAAACATCTGTAGGAACCAGGAACATTTAAGGTTTGAGAACTCCGAGTTCCAAAAGTAAATATGGGTCGGGAAATAATATTGTGTTGGTTTCTGACTATTAGATTAAGGTGTCTGAATGAGAAAAGAAATGAACTACTCGAGGCCATTTTGAACCTGAAATTAATGAAAATCTAGAAAAACATTTAGAAGGATTTCGATAGAATAAACTGGGTCTGTCCTAGAGAATAATTTTTGGACCTGACCACTTTTTTCAGCAAAATTATTATTATTTATTTTTTATTATTTTAGGGTTAGGTTAGGCTAAGACGATTTCTGGGCTGAGCGCTGCGGCTAGGTCAGGCTAGGGGGCCGAGCGCTGCGGCCACAAGTCCAATTTTATCAATATGTTACATATGAGATCCGTGTACAAACCTGATAGGAGGGAGGGGGCGAGGGGTCCAAAAATCGTTCTCCCCTAGGAATTTGCCAATAAACTTTACATATAAACCAAGCCTTTACTCCAGATATTACTTTTATAAAAGAAACAAAGCGCGAATTCTGTCGACAAAAACTCCGCTTCGAATCGATGATTTCGGAAAAAACTTGGAAATGACAAGTAAATATTAATTGAACTTTTTCTATAACTCCAAGTCTTGAATTCCTAAGTTGATCAAATGTAAAAGGTGTAGTAGCCGTTGCGTGACATACCTACTGTCACTATTTCGGCAGTAAATACTTACAGTCATGAATCAGAAAGATCCGGAAATATTTTAATCATTAATCAGACGACTATACTTTCTAATTTTTAAAATATGATTAATGAAACCTTAATAAGTAAATAGCCCTAGTCCTGTAAATTCCAAAATGTGGTCTGCCTTTATTATGCGTTTAAAATTGCCAGAGATATATATAAAGTCGTCTGACTAATTATCAATGAATTCAGGGTTATGGCTGTAGACCAAATTAATATAAAATTATTAAATTTTAGATAATTCAGCTTGAATTCAAATATGTTTTTGTTTTTCGTTTTATTTTATAATGTTTCATAGAAATTAAATAGCATGTTTGATGAAGCTGCTTCACTTTGAGTCAGAGTGTAAGATTTCAATACGTAGCGCGTATAATGCCGCAAACACAGTTTAAATGTATTTATTGATTAGAACTCAAATAGGCTGTTCATTCTTCACAAAGCTTTATATTTTAAACAATAGTAAATTGCTAAAACAGGGGCATAGAGTTTAAAATGTGTGCTTTTTTGGATTAGTAATTATTTTTAACTTAGCCAATGTCTGCTTCTTTAAATAGTTTTAGTTCGCGGCAGTTTGCGCATTGTCATTCATCTTTATTTAAGTTTCTTTTATTAGTTTCTAGTACTTTGGTTTAAGTTGCTTATTAATGGATAATAATCTACTTTCATGAAACTATGTTTGACCTTAGATAAAATACTTTGAATTTTAATTTAGTCGAATGCGTTGGTCGGCCTTATCATAAGAAAATAATTAAGATCTTAGCAATAAAGTTTATCTGGACCTCGATACCACTTTCAATTATCAGTACTTTTTCCTTCATCAATAAATTAAGTTATTTTATGGAGGGGGGGGGGGGCCTCAACATTAGATAATATTACATGATTTCGAAGCAAAAGTAATTAAGTTACTTTTTGTCCGAATGTTTTCAGAATATGATGCTATTCAAAATCTGTATAGATACCACCTAGTGAATCTTGTGTTCAGTTTCTGTATTTTCTATTGTAGCCGTTATAGTCGGATTTTTAGCGGGTTATAAAGTTATTTTATCCCTAAACATACTGATCCTAGTACTATTACATTAAATGTGACCATGTTTCAGATAGAATAATACCATTGTCCGTGCTGACATGAAGAGTGATGTTTGAATAATGAGACGAAGTAAACTCCAATCCCAGGTTCTAGGTTTATATAAACTATGCATGCGAGCTGCTGAAGCTAAACCTGGTTTTAAAGTGAATGTGCAGAGTGAGTTCAGAAGATACGCTGCTCTCCCTAGAACTGATACTCTCCGGGTAGAGCAGTTGATTAGGAACGGATACAGGAAACTGGATATGATGAAGGATCCAAATGTATCTGGGATGGGAAACTTTGTTGAAGAAAAGAAGAAATAGTAAAATAAGTTGTCATGTCGTTTTCTCTTGAACTTGATGATTATTAAGAAACTGAAGAAATGTCATCCAATACAATAAAAATTCTTAGGTAAACTTTAGTAGAATCTAATCTAAGATATTTAAAGAAAAATTTGAAGGAAAACAAAATTTAAATTTATTTATTTAGGTTTGGTGCACTAGAATATAATCGAGCTTATAAGGTCCAGGAGCATCTTGTAAATATATTAAAGACAGGAGTTGAAAATAAAAAATCTCATCCTAACTTTTTAATTCTTCTTGAGCACAAACCAGTTTATACAACAGGAATCCGTACTAAGGTAACCTAACATACCATGTTTAAAACCAGTTTATACAACAGGAATCCGCACTAAGGTAACCTAACATACCTTCTTGAGCACAAACCAGTTTATACAACGGGAATCCGTACTAAGGTAACCAGTCAATTTTAGCAAAAAAAAATTTACTTTTATTCTATTCAACAAGGAGTGCATTTTTTTAGAATTTGAATTAATATTTTAAGTATTTTTCCTTTTTTATATCTGTTAAACTAATTATACTAGTTAATTTATTTTCCATTAATTTGTGGCGCTTCGTTCAAACATTCTCCAACATTCAGAAAAAATATTTTTTGACGAGGGCAATCATTTTCAAGAACATTTAAGCTGTATGTCCAAATTTTAAATCATTGAATTTGAATTTATCTTTCAAGTATTTTCCCTCTTTTTGATACTTTTCATACTAATTCATTTATTTTCCACAAATTAGCAATTGAAACTTCTGAAATATTTGTGGCGTATCGTGCAAATATTCTCATCATACAGAAAAAAATATTTTTTTTGACGAGGGCAATAATTTTCAAGAACATTTTTTTCTGTCTGAAAAGTTTTTAAAGGAGGTTTAAATTTTTAAAGATATTTTGTTATGGTAACTAAAAGGGGGGTATTTAAGCTTTATGGCTAAATGTTAAAATCTGCAATTTATTTAGGAATATTCCTCTGATGAAGAGATGTATTTACGAAGTCTTGGAGCTGATTTTGTGAGAACTAATCGAGGAGGTCTCATCACATTTCATGGTCCAGGACAATTAGTTGCTTATCCTATACTCAACCTTACTCAATTCATCCCTCAGGTTCAAATAGTTGCTTAGCCTATACTCAACCTTACTCAATTAATCCCTCAGGTTCAAATAGTTGCTTATCCTATACTCAACCTAACTCAATTCATCCCTCAGGTTCAACTTGTTGCTTATCCTATACTCAACCTTACTCAATTCATCTCTCAGGTTCAACTAGTTGCTTATCCTATACTCAACCTTACTCAAAGGTTCAACTAGATGCTTATCCTGAACTCAACCTTACTCGATTCATCCCTTAGGTTCAACTAGTTGCTTATCCTATACTCAACCTTACTCAATTCATCCCTCAGGTTCAACTAGTTGCCTATCCTATACTCAACCTTACTCAATTCATCCCTCAGGTTCAACTAGTTGCTTATCCTATACTCAACCTTACTCTATTCATCCCTCAGGTTCAACTTGATACCAAGATTCGCATGTTCTGATTTCTAAACATTACAGAGATATATGAGTTATAATAGTTAAAAGTACAAAATCTTAAAAGGCAAATCTTACTTTAAGGAAAGAGCGAAAGAAGACCTTTACTTAGCTTTAAATTGGTTTTTACTGTTTTGCAATAATATTTTATATAAGCTGAGGTATAATTGTTATTTTTAAGGAAAAATAAATCCCCTAAAATGGAGACAATAATAAAATTGTTGGCCGTCAAATCTGGCGGAATGTACATTTTACACATTAAACTTTTTCAGGCGAACCGTAGAAAATCTGCACTTGGGATGAGATGGTATGTGAAAACACTAGAGGAGGTTGTAATACAGGTAGGTCAGGGACCATTAACTGACCAAAGGCCGAGTTTCAAGAATTTAAACCACGTCGTTGAACGCCCAAAAAGTGGATCCGGCTCAAATCTCGAAGTGCTGAATACAATTTTAAGTGGAACCATCTATGTTTGAACCGCATCTCAAACGCGGCTCAAATTCTTTAAATTCGGCCTCAGGGTGAAATTCATTCGCAAGGATATATATATATTTTTTCAACCATTGAATTGAATGAATTGGAAAAAAATCAAAAGAAAAGTGGTTTATTCCTTTTCTTTATTTTCCCTAGAAATGTTCCCTAAATACTAATTGGTTTCCAGAAAAGGCAAATAATTTATGTAAAATTGGGATTAAAAGTTATAACTTGCTGTATATTATATATATATACATTATATAGATATATTTTAGATAGTTTTAAAAAATATAAATACAATTTTCTTGTTTAAGGTGTGTTCTGAATATAATCTACAAGGATCCCGGTCTCCGCATACAGGGGTTTGGGTCGGAGACAATAAAATCTGTGCCATGGGAGTTCATAACAGTCAACTTATTACTAGCCATGGACTAGCTCTGAATTGCAAGTAAATATTTTATTTATATTATTATTTACTAGGCCCGTAACTTCCTTTACTGTTGATACTGTTGATTTATCTGCAAGACCTTCATCTTCGATCATTGTAGAAGTAAATGACAATAAAATTGAAAATTGTAAACAATGAAATTCTTTTGTGCAATGTAACAACTAAAAAACTTTATTTCAGCGTGGATCTTGATTGGTTTACAAAAATAATTCCGTGTGGTATAATTGGAAAAGGAGTAACCTCCCTCACCTCGGAGCTAAACCAGGAGATCAAAATAGAAGAAGTTCGTCCTGTCCTAGTCAAACATTTCGGAGACCAGTTCTCAGCTCAGATGGAGGACTGTTCTCCGGAGGACCTGGAGAAGTATCTTCCGTCTGAGTTAAACCTCACGCTTGAGCCGGATTCCTGATAATTATATTTAAACCAGTTCGTTCATTCCGTGATAAAACTATTTTTAATGTTGTAGAGATTTTAGTTTTGTTGGCCGGGTTCCTTGTATCCAGGTTCTAATTATTACAGATAAGATGGCAGGATTGCAGGTTGTAAGATCTGGTTTACTCAGAGGATTCCAAACAGCCTCCAGGCTCCAGGTATTAACCAAGGAATGGCTTCAAATATCTATATACAATTCGCCGACGATAGAAGCGCCTCAAACGCCGAAATCGACAAGATTTTAAACAAAAAATATTTTAAAAGTCAAATTGCACAAATCTTTAACAGATGGTCTAAGGTTTTTAAAAGTCTGTTGGATAAGGATAAGGATGAGCAAGAAGACTTATTATTTTAGTTTCAATATTTTGTTTTCTACATCAATTTCAAAAAAATATATTCCTCATTATCCATTTATGAGGCATTCAAGTTTTTGGTCACCTAATTTCTTATCTATTTAGCTGGGGTTGGATTAAGCAACGTCGCCATTTGAGCGTATGTTGTGATAGAATAAGGAAAATGAAGTTTTTGTAATTTTGTGGTATCGACATATCGTAACGTTTGATATCGTCTTCGAAATTGACAATGATTATAATTTGATGGGTGAAGAAACGAAAGAATACAAGAACTTTTTGTTTGAATCTCGACTTCCGGGAATTCCTACGACATTACAAGCTTGACAAGAAATATTTCTCCTAGGTTGCTTCTTTATCCCGGAGTATCCCAGTACTCTCAGATATACAGATCAAGGATAAAGCTAAGGAGGTTAAGAAATTTTCCGAGTCCGAGATCCTTGGTCAACATCAAACCTCAGGAGGACTTATTACTGTTGAGGTAGGAAGAACTTTATATGTTCTTATTTTTAAAGCTCAATAACATCATCCTAACTTAATCATTCTTGCTTTATTTCCTTTAAAATCTTCACTCTATTCGAGGGTAAAAATTGATTTTTATTAATATAAAGGATTTGAAACAAATGTAAAATGACAATATGTAACATTCTTTTAAAATTCTTTTTATGCTTCAGATCATACTAAGTTGGATGTTTTAGTGTTATGAGAAACAAAGTTTGATGTGTCATGGTCCTTAGGATCATAGTGTGATGTCCCGATAGTTGATCTTTTAGAGACCCAGAGATCATAGTTTTATGTTTCAGGGATAATATGATCCTGGATCATGGTTTGATAGTTTAGGTTCATAAGGATCATAACTAAATTTTTTAGGGTTCAGAGGCTCATAGTTTGATGATGTAGGGTCCAGGGGGATCATAGTTTGATTTTTCAGGGTACCAAGGATCATGATTTAATATTTCAGAGTACCAAGGATCATGATTTAATATTTTAGAGTACCAAGGATCATGATTTAATATTTTAGAGTACCAAGGATCATGATTTGATATTTCAAGGTACCAAGGATCATGATTTAATATTTTAGAGTAACAAGGATCATGATTTAATATCTTTGAATACCAAGGATCATGATTTAATATTTCAGGGTACCAAGGATCATGATTTAATATTTCAGAGTACCAAGGATTATGATTTAATACTTCAGAGTACCAAGGATCATGATTTAATATTTCAGGGTCACACGAATTATAGTTTAATTTGGTGTATTTGGGTCCTTTGGTAATAGTTTTATGAACTTGGTCCTGAGTAATAAGGATCATCATCATCATATTTGATGCTTTATGGTTTATGGTCCTTGGGATCATAGTTCGATGTTTCAGAGTTTTAAGGATCAAAGTTGTTTTATTGTCCTAAGGATTCATGTTTTAAAGCCCTGAGAATAATAACAGAATGTTTTAGGGTCCTGAGGATCATAGTTTGATCTCTGGTATGCCTGAGGAGCATACCCTTGAGCGTACAGTCAGGATTTATAAACCAGCAAAGAACGCTATGCAGTCCGGAACTGCCGGGATTAAAAGGTATATTTTTAAAACATTTTTAGAACTACTAAAGACATTCTGTGATTTTACAATGGATTAAAACCATAGAATTAAGTTCTTTGTTTTCCGTTTCACTTACAGTTGAGACTTCATTGCTACTTCTTAATGAACGATAACAAACCAGAATTTTCTTGAATGAATGGGTTTACTACAGGGTCACCTACAAAGGATCAGACTGTAAAGACGACGCGACCTTCTTTATGACGATTTCAAAGTTAAATTGAGTCTTCTGTCTTAAATTTATACTTTTAATAGTTTATTTCGTGAAATGATTTAGAAAGAAACAAGTTTACAGTTGTAGGGAACCATGAAAACAGGAAACAGATAGTATAAAATCCGCACAGTCGTCTCTGAAGTCTCATTCTTTGTGGGTAACCCTGTATTTTAGAAAATATGTATTATTTATTCAAAGTTAAACTTAAATACCTTTATGTTGAAAAATTTGTTATTTTAGCTTTTCATCTATAAAAACATAAAAAAGTCACACTTAAAAAATTTAATGATGAAAACATGAACAGATTATAAATACTCTATAAGCTTACAGTACTTGTTGCACAACTATTTTAGAAAATATTTTTAATGTAAATGAAGGAAATTATATTTCCGGGCCGTTGTAATTATAAGTGACTTTCCGGGCAAAGATGGGCATGCCAGCTTCACAACTGTACCTTTAAAATCTTTATTTGATTAAAAATGTGGAAGGTATTTTCGGTTTTCTTGCTTAAGTGTTTCTAAAGCAGGATTCTGCATGTCACTAAACAGAGAAGTTCGACGACTGAAAAAAGAGTTCAAAAAGAAAATTATGAAAACCTCTTGTATTCTTGATTTTACATCGCTATAAAAATACCGGACATGCCACTCTATAAATGGAGAGTCACTTGAAATTACCTCTAAGTTTAAGTGTCGATTTTCAACTGTATTGTTTTAAGGTGGAGGATCGAGTTTGATACTCGTGAGAGATGGGAGAATAATCTGATGGGTTGGAGTAGCTCTGCTGATCCTCTCTCCAACACACTTCTAGACTTTGCTAACAAGGAGGACGCAATCAAGTTCGCGGAGAAGAACAGCTGGACCTACTCTCTAGAGGTAGGGTTCAATATATCCTCCTCGGCTCGTGACACATTTCTTTAAAAGAAATTAGAAATGATACAAAAAAATAGCAAATTGGTTTTAAGAGTGATTAAAGGATAAAGGATAATAAGAAGAATATTAAGAAAAACAAGAAATAATAAAAGAACTTCCATGAAATAATGTGTACTGCAGTTTCTGGGAGAAAACTTAAAAGTAAATAAAACCCAGGCAGGTTAGCGCTGCTTTGCTTAGATTCCTTTCAGAAACTGCAGTAAACCTTATACTTTGGGGTTTCCTGTCATATTAATCCTTAAGGTTTAAGTTTTAGTAGAATTAAATAGATAAACTTATTAAATTTTTAATGAAGTTTACTTATAAAAGAACTGTACACCTGCAAAATTGATAAGAAATTCAAACTAAACGATGGGGAAGAAAATAAAATTATGATATACGTCTGAATTAGAATAAAAGATTTATTAAGATTAATAAATATCTAAACATACAAAATAATTCATGAAATGTTTAATATAATATAATTTCAGGACCCGAAGGAGCGTGCCCCAAAATCTAAATCCTATGCGCTCAACTTTGCCTGGAACAAGAGAACGAGGAAATCTACCAAATAAACCAGTTCTCCGCCAGCGGTACCTCGGCGGGGAAACATATCCTCCGTCAGCGGAATCCGCGTAGCAGAACTTTGGTTGATTTTCATATTGAGGGGTGCAGAACCTGGTAGGAATATATTAGGATATATTTGTAATACTGAATATTTAAATAATAACTTTTGAAAAACTTTACGAAATTAAATTGGAAATTGAAATTTGAATTCAATTCTAAATCTTGGCGACTAGAGAGGTAGTTGAACTAACCGTACATAGGATCAATTATTTGATGAAATGTTTCAGAAATGGAAAAACCTTTTTTTAAATTTTTCTTGTTTTTATATCACCAAACGCATGTTAAAAAAGATTATACAGTTATTTATTATGTAAACAAAAATCTGCAACTTCGTATTTTAAAAGGGAAATTCCGCGAAAAAAAAATTACAGAAAGTTCACTGTTATAATAATTATCTAATTCAGGCTAAAACGTCAGAATGCCCCTGGGTCAGGGTAAATAATGTACAATAATTATGATTTTGTGTTTATGAAATAACCAAATTGAACAAATGCGAAATATTTATATTAGGATTACAAATAAGCCAATATAACAACAGAAAGATGTCCCTGAAAATGTCTATAAACAATAATATTTTCTCATAAAAATATGAATGAGCATAAGACAGACAACAGGACGCAATTTATATATATCTATCTTTTATACTGTTTGCCAAATAGATAATCAAGTACAATAGGGAGCAACAGAGAAATGGACCAATTATACACGACGTCACAAGTGTCAAATAAAACAAGGAAAAGGAAATTTTCTCACATTAGTTGACATGTTTTCCAAGATTAATAAAAAAGTGTAAGAACAGAAATTAAAGAAGACATAAAATTGCACTTATTTTACTTTAAGATTTAAGCACTTTATTCTAAAATTATCACTATTATTAATAATTTGTCAGACACAAAAACAGATTTGACACTTGTGACGTCAGGATATAACTGTACTGAGAGTGTACAAATTCTACGTTGCCATCTATTGTACTAAATTCTATTTGCTTTTTTCTATTGCTAGCCATCTCTTTATAGGTTCGCCTAGCCGTAGCGTTCTTCTCTTAGCATGTGAAGACGTACCAACCTAGAATGGTATAAAAGCAGGGGTCCATATAATTCCTTTCTCAAACCTATTTGGGATTGATTTCTCAATCCTATTTGGGATTGATTTCTCAATCCTATTTGGGATTGATTTCTCAATCCTATTTGGGATTGATTTCTTAATCCTATTTGGGATTGATTTCGTAATCCTATTTGGGATTGATTTCTCAATCCTATTTGGGATTGACCAATAAAAAAAATGGGTACAAATTTATTTAAATGAAGGCAAATTGTTTGAAAATGATAATTCTAGAAAAAATAGGGGCAACATTGATCTACTTGGTGCAATTTTTAATCTATTGGGGTTCTATTTGTCATTCCGTTATGTGCAAAAAAAAAATGGGTGCAACTTTATAAATTTTAAGAGACAATCAAAATAAAATTGGGGGCAGTTTAAAAATACGAGGCAATTAAATAAATATGGTGGGCAAGTCAATTAATGTTAGGGCGCCAAAATGTAAGTGGAAATTTTACCTATTTTGTTTGGGTGCAAATTTTTTTATTTAGGTGCATTTTGTATCTAAAAGGGACATACATGTGTGTAATTTTTTACAATTTTTAATTAGGGGCACATTTTTTTGGGAGGGGGGCATAATGTATCTAATAGGGGCATAGTTAAAAATGTCCTTTTACTAGAATATTACATTAAGTTTGAATTTAGCAGTTAGCTCATCATTTCATCTGTATGTTTAATTCTGTTTTTGACGTATTATAAAAAGATCAAATTAATTCATGGAATGTAGAAACCACCTTAGGATTCATTATTGATTAATTTCATTCACTTCGACTTTTTTCCGTGCAATTGATTTTTAATGCTTCTCTTTCTGATGAAATTGTTATATTATAAACTTCCTCACTCCTCAGCCACTACGTAAATATTTCTTGAAGTTTTTGCAGTTTTTTCGGATCCGGATCCCAAAATATTGCGGATCCTAAGCATCCTAAAAGTTTTGAACAGTTTCTACAGTTGTACATAAGTATTAAGTATGTATTCTATTACCTCCTAAGATATATTATCCCCCCCCCCTCTTCCCTGAAATGAAAACATGTTCCTAATCCTAAAACTGCAATATTAGGAGGAATTGAGTCCGTGGCTTTCTCTGCTTCTATTGGCTGGAGTAGGATCGCCTGATTCTCACTCCACCAACTTATAAGAAATATCTTTTAACTGAGATCTTGTGTAACCCTGGCGCATGCGGTCTACGCAAATTATTAATCACCACGTTTTCTCGTTTATTTAGTTTTTAAATACGTATAATTGACAGTGACTGTTGGATATGATGAGATATTAAAATATAGCTTATCTTTAAATTACTTGGTGTCGAGAAAAATTATATTTCTCCCCCGAGGCTTAATTACGGTAATGCTAATTACAGATAATCAAATCTACTTTCTCCGTTAAAGATTTTGATCTTCAGAAAAGCCCAAATTGGAGTTTTTTGTGTGTTATTTTTTTTTTGTTGTGAAAATGTAGACATTTAAGAAAACGCGCGACCAACGAAAACTTCTTTAGAATTGAATCTTGAGATCTCCAGCCTTTCTGAGAAAAACACGTCCTGTTCCCCAATTTTGAGAATCCCTCTCTAGTGAGCCTATGTTGAATCTATATCTAACACAACATTCACTATTTTCTGTTTCAATCTTGTTTCGTTAAATCCAGAAGAATTTGATTGATAACAAGTTACTTGGGGGATTTCATGGACACTCTTTGTTTACTGCTGAGCACAGTTTAGTTTTCTATTTACTTTCAGTTGATAAAAATACGTTAATTTGGTGAGAAGAACAAATTTGTTAAATTTGTCTTAAACAAAATGGAGTAACCTTAAAACAATGGTATTTATCCTTCGATATCCTTGTTAACAAGGCTGAATTATAGGCGTTATCCTTCGATATCCTTGTTAATAAGGCTGAATTATAGGCTTTGTCCTTCGATATCCTTATTATTTAGGCTGAACTATAGGCGTTGTCCTTCGATATCCTTGTTAATTATGCTGAACTATAGGCGTTGTCCTTTTATATCCTTGTTAATTAGGCTGAACTGTAGGCGTTGTCCTTCGATGTCCTTGTTAATTAGGCTGAATTATAGGCGTTGTCCTTCGATGTCCTTGTTAATTAGGCTGAATTATAGGCGTTGTCCTTCGATATTCTTGTTAATTAGGCTGAATTATAGGCGTTGTCCTTCGATATCCTTGTTAATTAGGCTGAAATATAGGTGTTGGTCTTCGATATCCTCGTCAATTAGGCTGAATTATAGGCGTTGTCCTTTTATATCCTTGTTAATTAGGCTGAACTATAGTCGTTGTCCTTCGATATCCTTGTTAATTCGGCTGAACTATAGTCGTTGTCCTTCGATGTCCTTGTCAATTAGGCTGAACTATGGTCGTTGTCCTTTGATGTCCTTGTTAGTTAGGCTGAACTATAGTCGTTGTCCTTCGATATCCTTGTTAATTCGGCTGAACTATAGGCGAACAAAGAGATTAAATTAGTTCATTATTTATAATACCCAATTCTTCTGGGGGGGGGGTGGCGGGGATGGCCGGGCTCAGGTCTTACGAACACATTTCGGATTTTTATATCAAATGCTTAAGTTCTACAGCATACAGCGTGAATGTTTTTTTTCAAACTAAATCTATTCAAACCCACTTCCGGTCATTTTGTAACTTTTTAATTTTTCAGCAGAAAATATAAGAATTTGTAGATAAGTATCACAAAAAGTAAATAAAGGGAGGAGGGAGGGGATTTTTAAAGGAGAGTAGAAATCTGATTCATCTCTGATCTTGAAATTAGTTACATAAATTGTTTAGAACTGTTAAAACTGCACCCAGAGCTTACACGTGCAACTTCTAAACTTCTAGACTTCTAGACTTGTGCAGATATATTTATTTTTCTCCAGTTTCTGCTTAGTAATATTCACCTTCTAATCAGTTGCTAGGAGAAGTGGTTACTCTAACGGATATATGCCGTACGGACGGACTACGGTGTTGCATTTTATGACTTGAAAAGCAATAGGATTATTTGCTTGTACTTTGGAGACTGTTTTACGTAGGATTGATTTACAATCAATATTTGACATTTAAGCTGCATTTTTTTACAATTTTTACTAACTCTATAATTGTTTACCAAGTTGCTTGTCTCCATGTGGAAATGAATCACTGTGTTGTCAAGCGGGAGTTTTTAAGTAAACTTATTTCAAGTTTGTCTTCTAATTTAAAGAACATATAAACAACTTATATTTAGGCGTAAAAGAGTGTACTGTAATAGGATGCGTAGTAAAAATGTAAAATCTACAACGTATTTTATAAAATTCAAAATAAATTGTATAATTTCACATTTCTTAACTAATATATACTCCCCCCATTCTCTGCCCCTCCTTTTATAGCTTATCCTAAAAACTCTAAGCTTTCACCCCTCTCCTTCATTTTCGCATAAACATAATGTTGTTTTGTGAATCACTTATTTTTATATATTATTTCTCCGCTTGAGACTGTTGAAAGAAAACTTGTGAGACGGGATGGAGAATTCTCTGTTGACTGTTAAGTTTAGTCGAGTCAAACCTTTACTCCTCTCCGGAACCTCGTTTTCTATCCTTAGAATCAGCTGAAGTCAAAACTTTTAAGTTGTGAATCTCAGGATTAAGCATTGATCTCCATCTTATACAGACTTAAACGCTCATTTCATTCCTCTTCGATATCCTGTTGCGGTCATACCCTGAAGAGATAACTTTAAATGTTGGATTTAGTACTTATCCTTAATTTTAAAGTGTCCACATTGGATATATCGAGATCAAGCGTTCAAGATTAATGGTGCTCCAAATTTCCGACCTATGTTCTTATATTGGGGAGGGTGATGTGATTTAGTCATTATAACACTGTACTGCAGTGGGGGTAAGCAATGTAAACAAACTTTCTTATTCCAGTGATGGTATGTACAGTATGTACAAGAAGAAAATTAAATATGTAATGCTCTGTATTCTCTCTTTCAAACTTAATACTTTCTTCTCTTATGTATCCTTAATTCTAAAACAAGATTGTTAGACATTTGAATTTATAATTTCAAAAAAAGATACAGGGAGTTCCAAAATAGAGGCATGGCAATTAAGTAAAGTGTTTTAAATTGTTAGAAGATCTATTGCTTTTTTTATTATTATTTTCAAGAATTAACAATATTTTGATCCTAATGTTAAATGTTGGGAAAAGGCTAAACTCACAAATAGTACCTTCTACATAACCAAAATATTTGAACAATCCCTTTAATCTAATACGAGAGGGGAACTTATATTAGAAAGCTCAAAATTTGTATAATGTTTTATGTTTGAGTAAAGCGTAAATATTAACTTTGAACGATCTATAACACGCAATTTCTTTAGTGTGATCTAGTTTTTATTGTATTTGTAAGTTTCTAAACTTGCACTCCGCGAATAATTCGAATTTCCGAACTACAAATATTGCATTTTCTTGCAAGATAAGTTTAGTGGTTTGCAGGCTTCTGTGGCTTAACTTTTGATGCAAAATAAGAGAAAACATAGAAAAAATTTTAAATTGTTACTTTTCATCAGATAGTGCATGTCACTCCACAGGGAGGAAAAAATCTGATTAATTCTTTTTAAGATTCAAGGAACGTTACTTTTATTTAAAACATTTATTAACGATTTTTTTGGATAATTTTTGGAATTTTAGACATGATATTTTTAGAAGTCTTTTAGTTGGTTTGGAGTCATAACATGCTGCATCAATTATATCTCTTTATCTCTATACCTCTTCGTTCTTTAAAATTGTTTTTAAATGGAGGACAGGACTTAAGAAAGTTTCTAAGCTGTCAAAAAAAATTATGAAAACTAACAAATATTTCCTATTACAAAATATTATTTAGCTAAGAAATAGTAAGGTCTAAAATTATATTAAAAAGTCTATGAATGATACTACTCTCATATATTTTCATTGCTAACAAATATTTCCTATTACAAAATATTATTTAGCTAAGAAGTCGTAAGGTCTAAAATTATATTAAAAAGTCTATGAATGATACTACTCTCATATATTTTCATAACCAATTTTCACTTTCTGCTGTGTTGGACAGCTACAGGTCACGTGATGTCTGGGCTAGTCACGTGACTAATTTTTTGTTGCCTGGAAACTCACACAGTTCCACTAAACCAAGAGGTTTCTTCATGGTTTCAGCTTCGATAAGTAAACTTATATTTCTATAAAGTTTTAAAAAATCATTATGAGAGGTTCTTGAACCCTCTTTGAATCACTCTGTCCGTGAATGTTCCGTTGTCTGGGTTGGTAACAGAGATATACACCGGAGCACGCTCTAGGGTCGTGATAAACCCGGCACAAAGTATAGAAAGATACCTAGATATCCACACCAACTCGTCTGCAGACTGCAGTTTTACTCCAAACCTCAGCTGACACAGAAACCTGAACTTGAATTATGAAAACTTTAATGTTTAATATTTAATCTATATTTCAGATAATATGTTAGAAGAAGTTTAAAAGAAGCTGAAATTATATTGTGAAGAAACCAAAAAAAAAATAATTCAAAATGAGGATCACAACTTGCTTAAACAATTTGAACAAACTTTTGGACTTGAAATCTTTGAAACTTTTGGATCATTATTCTCAGTTTAATCCTAGTCCTCTTTCAATCAAACAGTTTATGGAGTTTGGACGGAGTGCAACTGAACCTGAATCCTTTCTCTTCCTTCGGAAAGAGATCCCCGTCCGACTCTCAAACATAATGAAGGAAATCAACCTTCTCCCGGGAAACCTTCTTCAGATGCCATCAGTTCTAATATTACAGGTAGAGAGCCAAATAATCTAATAATCCATGAGGTCTGGGACCAAAGGAACTGAGTTCAATTCACTTATTATGGTTTTCTAATCCATATTTCTCCACAACCTTATGTCATAGACCTCTGATATTTCATCATATGAAATCTGTGAGATCAAATAGTCTTCAAGTTTGAAATATCAATGGTTTATACCATCAGGTTGCAAAGATATACGGGTTACAAAATTTGAGTTTATGTCAAAAACTCTTTAAATAGATAGCGAGAAACAGTTTAAATATGTAGACTAAGTTGAACTACTTCGATTTAACTTGAACCGGGGCACAAGCGAAGTGGCTCAACTTCTCGCTGTTTATTAATTTTGGCCCCTTTTTTCATTTTTTCTTTTTCACGAAAACTGGAGATTTATTTCTGAATTTGTGAATAAACCGTTTTTTTGGCAGGACTGGTATGCGCAGAGCTTCCGTGATATTAGTAGTTTTGAATCCCGGGAACCGAACCTAGAAACCCTAGAGGAGTTTTGTACTATGCTAAAAACAGTTCAAGCAAGACATACAAATGTTGTTCAGACGATGGCTCAGGTAGAACCTTGATGAGGATAGTTCAGTAAAGTAGGAGAGTAAAGGAGTAAAGTGAAAGGTTGATGAAATGTGTTGGGTGTACTGTCCACTTTGGTTCTAGTACTCTTCGTGGAGAAATAAGAGTTTTACGTTGGGAATGTTTAAACAGGTCAGCAGAAGTTGAACTATCTAGTTTCTTGTGTGGCCAATATTAAATTAAACCAGCTTTTAAATTTCATAAAACAGTTCTATTTTTATTTGTTTGGTTGAAGCTGGGATGGAAAGCTTCTAAATAAAACGGTTTGGTCTCAAAATTCTGATTTTTATACAATATGTGCTGAAGGCGAAAGGTTAATAAGAGGAGTTAATGATAAGGCTGGGAGGAGATTAGAGGAGAAATTCGGAACTGAATTCTTCCAGGAAAGCTATGATGGGCTAATGTCAGCTCTTACCTTTTTAAAATTCCTTTACGGTAAAGTGGCCACATTGGATATATCGAGATCAAGCGTTCAAGATTAACGAGACTCCNGTTTTAATTGTTTTGTAGTTTTCTATTATTTGAGTTACTTCAGTTTAAAAAAAACAGAGATTTTTTGTATATCAAAAATATTTATACTAGTTTATTTGTGTAAATTGCAGTCCTAATAAACTCAGAGACTTGTTTTATTTTTTAAAAATCAAATACTTTCCCTTAATATTTGGTAATTATGTATTTTTAATGTTGTTTTTGATACCTTCTTGGTTTCGGAAAGTTTAAAAATCTGGAGTTAAAACATTGTAATTCTTACTTAATTAAGCAAACTGTATTGAAAAAACCTATTTCTTGTTTTCAGGGTGTTCTAGAACTCAAGGAATCCCACCTAGTCGACAATCAGACAGATATGGCTATTCAGTACTTTCTAGATAGATTCTATATGTCAAGGTGCTTATTATTCATCTTGAATTATGATTTATCTGTGGGTTTCTTATACAGAATTTTTTTGGTCAGATTCAAATCTCAACAACGATAAAACATCCCATTTTTCTATATGTGTGAGCCTGAAAAAAACTCGATTTTGCCAATATTATTTATTTTATAACAAGCGGACCCGGTGTTGTGCGTCAGTTTATCTCCACTGCTACAATTTGTCTCACATTTAAGCTTTAACCATTTTAACCAAATGTTAGACATTCAAAAGGAAGTTCAGAAATTGTGTTGAAATGAGTATTCTCTACAGAAAACGAACTGATTATCTGGTTTCTTGATAATTAAATAATTGAATATTTAGGAGAAAATACAAATTAAATTAGTTAAATAAATGCATATATAGAAGAAAATACAAATTAAATTTGTTAAATAATTGAATATTTAGAAGAAAAGACAAATTAAATTTGTTAAATAATTGAATATTTAGGAGAAAATACAAATTAAATTTGTTAAATAATTGCATATTTAGAAGAAAATACAAATATCAAGGAATCCCACCTAGTCGACAATCAGACAGATATGGCTATTCAGTACTTTCTAGATAGATTCTATATGTCAAGGTGCTTATTATTCATCTTGCTTCATGATTCTTTCTTATATCTGTGGGTTTCTTCCACAGAAATTTTTTGGTCAGACTCATGTTAACTGCCATTTTATATGATCAAATCTGCCAACAGCCAGTTTAGATAAAAAATCTCAATCCATTTTTCTATATTTTTAAGTATGAAAAACTTGATTTTGCCAATTTTATTTATTTTACAACAAGCGGTCCTGGTGTCGTGCGTCTGTTCATCTCCCCTGCCACAATTCGTCTCACATTTAAGTTTTAACCATTTTAACTAAATGTTAGACATTCAAAAGCAAGTTCAGAAATTGTGTTGAAATGGTTAAACTTTACAGAAAACGAACTGATTATCTGGTTTCTTGATAATTAAATAATTGAATATTTAGGAGAAAATACAAATTAAATTTGTTAAATAATTGAATATTTAGAAGAAAATACAAATGCAATTTGTTAAATAATTAAATATTTAGAAGAAAATACAAATCAAATTTGTTAAAAAATTAAATATTTAGAAGAAAATACAAATTAAATTTGTTAAATAATTAAATATTTAGAAGAAAATACAAATTAAATTTGTTAAATAATTGAAATATTTAGAAGAAAATACAAATTAAATTTGTTAAATAATTAAATATTTAGAAGAAAATACAAATTAAATTTGTTAAATAATTGAATATTTAGGAGAAAATACCAATGAAATTTGTTAAAAATAAAATATTTAGAAGAACATACCAACGAAATTTGTTAAATAATTGAATATTTAGAAGAAAATACAAATTAAATTTGTTAAATAATTAAATATTTAGAAGAAAATACAAATAAAATTTGTTAAAATAAATAAATATTTAGAAGAAAATACAAATTAAATTTGTTAAACAATTAAATATTTAGAAGAAAATACAAATTAAATTTGTTAAATAATTGCATATTTAGAAGAAAATACAAATTAAATTTGTTGAATAATAGCATATTTAGAATATCAATCCGAATGCTGATTCACCAACACACACTACTGTTTGAAGAGAACGCAGATAAAGATACAAAAAGAGTCGGGATTATAGATCCAACCTGTAAGGTAAATAACAAATTTTATTCTTAAACAAAACAAAAAACATTATTATTTCATTATTTTTATCCCATCAACGTTCACTGCAAAAAAATCAGTCAGAATCTTTCGATCTTACATTCTTCTAACACAGTTATAGAACCTAAACTACCAGTGCATTGTCCACCAAAATTCAAATAAAAAACTTTGCTCGAAATCAAGATATTTTGCTTATCGCAAATACTTCTTATTTTATTGCATAACGAGTCTGTTTTATGGGCGTAGAAATTAAGTAATTGAGTTGAGAATTGATTTTCATTGAAAACCTCTCTGTATATCTAATTTTTTAAAATAATATTCTAATGAGCATTCTTCAATTTGAAGACATGTAAAAACAATTTTGTCTGTTTTAGGTAAAATCTGTGATAATGGAGGCATTCACTAACGCAGCTTTTCTGTGCGAGGAATATTATACAATTGCTCCAGAGATTGAAATTAAAGGTGAAGAAAAAAGATTCTTTTAAATGTTTAAAATTTCTTTGCTATTTCTTTACCCCTAAGTTAATGAACTTTCATTTTTTTCTTGACGAATAATTTATGTCCCCCCTTTTTTGGATAATGTTTTAGAAATTTTAATTTCTTTGAACTTAAAAGGTTTACATTGTGGATATAAAGTTCAGTTAATGCAACTAACCGTTATTTATAATAGACAAAAGTTTTATTCTTAGTTTGGATAAAGTTAATTTCTCAAATATCTAAATTTTAATATTGTGTTTACTGTTTAGGTCTGACCAAGATGGTGAATGAAAAGGGAAAGAAGGTTGCCCTGTCTCTTTGTTATCCTCCTCCCCACCTTTACCACATCCTATTCGAGCTTTTTAAAAACTCGATGCGAGCCACAGTTGAAAATAACGCCCGGTCTGGATGTAACGCTACACCGGCGCTCAAATTATCTAGATTGTAACATTGTGTTTACTGTTTAGGTCTGACCAAGATGGTGAATGAAAAGGGAAAGAAGGTTGCCCTTTCTCTTTGTTATCCTCCTCCCCACCTTTACCACATCCTATTCGAGCTTTTTAAAAACTCGATGCGAGCCACAGTTGAAACACATGGAACAAAATCCGAGCTTCCTACGGTAGAAGTGCTAGTGGCTAAAGGAGAACATGATGTCAGTATACGAGTTAGTGATCAGGTAATTTACCCCCCGCCCTTTACTGGACGCTATCTTGGGTTTAGTGTTGGGAAACATTAAAAAAAATGTGCCATATTCAAATTGCTAGAAAACAAGATCATTTTTCTATGAAAACTAAATTATATATATATATCAACTTTATTTCAAATTGCGTGCTGAACCTCAGAAGTTCATCTGAGAATTAAAATTCAAGTTAAAGGCGAAATCAATTATTTAAACTGCACGAATTTCTGTTAAGAAATTTGTTGGAAACGTATTTGGTGGTGAGCCAGAGAAGATGTTTAATTGTCAACTCAATAAACTCATCCCACTGGTTTACATATTTTTTTGAAGCAAATTAATTTAATAAAGTTTATATTTTCTAATTATCCTCAGCTTAGAAATTAAGTGTTTATTATTTTTTGGCCAAAAAATCGAATAGTTTATTATTATTATGTTATGATTTAGGGTGGAGGTATACCCCGGCATATCACTGATCATCTATTCCACTACCTATTTTCCACTGCTCCTAGACCAAGTATGACTCCATCTAAAGCTCCATTAGCTGGCTACGGATATGGACTTCCACTTTCAAGACTATATGCAAGGTAAAACAAAAAAATCAAAGATAGTATTGACAAGTTAAGAAATGATAATTGAAATTTCTTACAATTGTCTATTTGAACCTAAAACTTCTGAGGGTTCTAACAAATTTAAGCTTATGTTTCATTAAAAGACATTAAACAAGAAAGGACATTTACAAAAAATTTTTTTGTTTAAACTGAAATATTAAATGACAGAATTCCATACAAAAAATAAACCGGTTTTATTCAGGGATACATATTTTCTTCAACAATTTTATGTACTTTTTAAGGTTTAATTGTTGAGTTTATGGGAACTTATTTTATTTAGATATTTTCATGGTGATCTGATCCTGAATTCATATGACGGATACGGAACAGATGCTGTCGTGTACCTGAAAGCTTTGACCCATGAAGCTAACGAGCTGCTACCTGTGTTCAACAAGACTAGCACAAAGCAGTACAAGACAGCTGTTCCAACCGCAGACTGGACCGACCCGTCGTATTGTGTTTCCAGAGGTAACACTAGAGGGAGTAGATAGCTCTGCTGGTTCGGATCTAGGAATCAGTTAATCTCAAGCTGTTAGAATGAGGTTGCTTTCTAGGAAGGTACCACATATCCGACATTATTTGTTTTGAAAACAAATATCCCTTGGAAATGATTCTTGTTTCTTTTAAATAAAATTCCTAGATCATAAGCTTGCTAATAATTTACCGACTAATATTCAAAATCAGCTGATTTTAAGTTTTTAAGATATCAATAAAAACTGAAATGTAAATCAGTTAATTTTGAATTTATAGATAACTTATCCGATACAAATTCCTATATTAACAATTGAATTTTTTTAGTTAAATAGCTTTTTTTTCTAGACTAAAAATCTTCCTAACCACGTCTTTCAAATTTATAGATTATAAATCAGCTGTATATACATTTATAGATTGTAAATCAGATAATTTTAAGTTTATAGATTATAAATCAGCTGTTTTAAAACTTATGGATTGTAAATCAGATAATTTTAAATTTTTTAGATTATAACTCAGCTATTTAAAATTCCTAGATTAAAAATCAGCTTATTTAAAATTCATAGATTATAAATTCATAGATAATTGATTTTCTTTCACCACATGACTAACAGAATATTCTAGTTTTCTTCTCCAAAAGTTCATCAGGTTGCAAAGAAATAGAGATTAGAAAATTTAAGTTTGTGAAAAAGACTCAATTTCTTTCTTGCCTTTTAATCTTTTTGATTGTTGAAAAGCAGATTACATTTTATTCAAAATAAAACTTGTGTTTAGGTTCCAAATCCCTGAGTTCTAAACTAAAAGAAAATCTGTCTGAGGAGTACAAACTGTCAAGGTCTGGAGATCAGTAAACAATACGCTGATGGATATTGGATATATAGAGTTAAATATTCGTCCTTTGCGGGATAAAAAATATTCTCCCTTTGCGGGATAAAAATATCCACCCTTTGCAGGGTAAAATTGTTCACATTTGCGGGATAGATAGTGAAGTTTCAATCTATGAAGATATTTTAGATTTAAAGTTCCAAAGATCAATGATCAAGCTTAATTTCAGATCAGTAGCAGCCTATGCTCAACCCAAAATCAAAGGGTTCGGATCAGTTCAAGAAAACAATTAGCTTTGATCCCATTTTGATTGTTTTTTGTTCGTTTAGCCTCAACAGTCTAGAAGTGGAGTCCTAAATTCCAAGAATCCCGCATTTTTTCTCAAAGTAAATTTAAGATATTTACAACACTTCAATGGCATTATGTTCTAGATATTCATTATTATTATATCATATCTTAAATCATCTAATTAACTTATATCTTTAAAATTTACATGATAGTTAATAACTTCATAGAGCACCTATCTAGAAATATGTAAATTAAAAAGTTTAGTTAGTTTTCTTAGAACAATTATAGATGAAACCTATTTCCAAAATGGGTGTCCTGTAGTCAATTGTACATAATACTTAACACAGACGGACGGAACCGAAACCCATTCAGTTTGAGATTTTAGTTCACTATTCAAAAAAGTATGAGTAACGTTAATCGTACATTATCAACTTTACCAACACTCGGTTTCAAAAATATAAAAAGGAATTCTATTTTTTTATCTTAAAAATGTTAAGGAAGGGTTAAATTATTCATTTTTTGCAAATCTTTTCTTATTATTAGTTTAAACTTTTAGGTGAAGAAAATCTGTGAACTTATTTTTTGGGAAAATCCATTAGTCGCAAAAAAAACCTACGAACCCTCGTAATTGTTATCTAGACTTTAAATTCTAAAAATTATTTTCTAGAAGAATTTATTTAACTTATTGTACCAAAGAATGGAAAGGGTTACTTCCTATTGTACTACTTTTAAAAGTACACATTATGCATGTGCTCAAAGTACATCGTTATTTCAAGAGGGGCATACACAGTACGGAGTTTAACACTATTTTGGTATCTCTTATTGTCAACATCCGTATATATAAATATTTAGATTTAATAAATATTAAAAAAAAACAATTTCTATTTATTGAAAAATCGGTAGAATTCAATATGTGAGCGATGTTAAATGGACTGTAAAGGAAAAATGAAAGGGGGTACAGGCTGAAAGCTAATCCCTTTAGCTCTTGATCGCGACCCATGAAAGTTATATCTGATGTTCCTGTCTCGAGAAATTGATATAAAACTGTTAAAATTATACGAAAGTTCATGTATGTAAAATTTAGAAAATATTGAACTTAAATCACGTGACCAGGGCTATCACCAATGACAGAGCAGTATACTGATCACGTGGCTCCGCCTGTATCACGTGACCACTTTACTGCACTGCCATTTGTGGAATTTCTGGTCAAGTAATACGGACGTATAAATAATATTATGAAGGAAATCTATGAAAAATAGAAATAACAAATATAAAAGTAAACCTAATTTACAATTAGCTTTCTCTGAGATATCATCGTTTTCAGATTGGTTGCTTATTTGCTGAATTTGATCTTTTTAAACCTATACTAATTGTATATATATTAATTTTCGTATGAATTCGACAAAGTTGTATATCAATTTTTCGAGATAGGAACATCAGATATGACTTTCATGGGTCGCGATCGAGAGCTAAAGTGAATAGCTTTAAGTCTATACCCCCTTTCATTTTTCCTTTACAGTCCCTTTAATAGATATTTTATTTTAGATTCTTAATATATTTGATATTTTTGTAATCATCTAGATAGAAATTATTTCAGTTCTAATCCAGATTTGATTCAGATTCAGTCTTTGTCACCTTTCATTTTTCAAGAACACGATCGATCCCTTTTATTTAATATTGTATAAATGGGTTTAAAATATGTGTTTTTTATTACAAGAGCAATGAAAAAATACAAAGAAATTACAGCAAGACTGGATAAATACATATTTCCCAGGAGGATTTCGAAATTTCGACTCCCAATTTTTGTGTGTGAAATTTTACGCACAATTTCTTGGTCGGATTTAAGCTCAAACAACTAAAAAGAATTAAAGGGTTTAAAAAGTGAAGTCTTAAACAAACATTAATAAGAATATAAGTTCTAGAAAAATATACTTCATGACTTGAAATTCAGGTTTAAAGTATAGTATTAAAATGTACAGCTCTGTATTACATTTAACGAAAAATCTTTAAATTCATGTAAAGAAACGGATTTTTGATATTTTATTATAACATTAAGCTTGAGAAATTTTAGAATTAAAGATACATTTTGAGATTAAAAGAGGACGGAAAGGAATCGAGTCTTTGCCACAAACTCAAATTTTCTAATCCCTTTATCTTCGCAACTGGATAGTGTAAACTTTTGATATTTTAAACTTAGTCTATTAGATCTAACAGAATTCATAGTTTGAAATTTCTAAGTTCTAGGACATTGGGTTGAAAAGATATAGGGATTAGAAAATCACAGTGTAAAAGATTAAATTTCTTTTCACGTGTTTTATGTTTATATATATCTTAGTTTATGTTTTATTTCTTCAAAATTTTAAATCGTTCCAGCCAAACGTTCGATTTGATAAGAATTCAAATCGAAATTTTGCCATTTAAAGTATCGAAGTGAAGTTTTGCTAACATACAATACATAGATACTAGATGAAGAGATATTATAGTTTAATAAATCAAGTACTCAAGCTAAGTAACAACCCTGCTGTAGGAGTCAAACTGTTTCCTCAAACTCCATATCCATCATGAGAGCTGAGGAGGTTAGGAGTCCAACCTTATCTTCTTCAGGTCCTCCTTCACTACCGTCTACACGACTCTCATGCCGTCGGTTACTCTTCCTAAACCAGAACCAGGTTATTATATTGAACCCTCTTCCGCGCTAAATATTCCAGTTAACAACTCCGTTCTAATTATGACGTCTCATTTACCCAATATTTATTTCCTTTTTGAGATACAAGTTTATGGCAATTTATTGCGAAATAAAGAAATAAAGCACAAATTTGCTGAAAAAAATTAATTGTGGGAAATAGGAAAATAGTTGATTTTTAAAAATTATGCAAAATTAGTTGCAGCAATTTCAATCCTAAATGTGCTCAGTAAATACTGCAAGAATAAGACCAGCTGCTGAGCTAACAGCTTGAATCAGTTGAAATTCAGTGCCGTAGATTAAAAAGCTACCAGCCGAAGGAGGATTTCCGTTGTTTTATTGGGGAAAGGGATTAACTTAATATTGTAATTTTGAGCCTATTATATATAAAAAAAATTCTAGTCAAAAGTGACACAAGAAAGAAAAAAATGATAATTTGTAAAGAGCAGGTATTATTTTTTTATCGTTTTTTTCAAAAGAACCACATGATTTACTCAGTATTAATTCTTATATCCATACTGATAAATGATAAAAGGTGTTACTAAAAGAACGACACAAGATGGTAAAACTCAAAATTAATCAATTAAAATTCTGATAGAAGATGACCAAAAACCCAATAAATGTTAAGAACAGGACTCAAAAACCCAATAAATGTTAAGAAAAGAAAACGTGATAAACCCTGAATAAAGTTACAAACAGAAAGTAATTTTGAAGGCTTTTTATTACATGTCAACTATAGTTCGTTTTAGATAAAAATGAAAGTCAGATCGATAAAGGACACTAATTAGTAGTGATATATAAACATCAAAGTCATTTTCTAACCTTTAGATCGGCACATTTTTAATTTTTTAATTTACTATTTTTTTTAAGTAAAGACATTAGACCGTATAGACCACAATTCGGAAAGCTTAGGCACGAATGTGATTTACTTGTCGTTACTCGATTTCCAAGTTGATTGTGATAGGTTTGCTGTTTTAGGAAGTTTAACTTTAAAAAGGCCCCACATAAATACTGTCAATTTGTGACGGTTTCAACATTTCAAAATTGTATTCTGATAAAGTTTGTGCTTATTTTACTTTACAAAATCATAAAAAAGTAAATTTGTGAAACCTTTAAAAGTTGGACCAGAGGCCGAATTTAAAGAATTTGAGCCGCAGCTTAGATTTAAGCAACGGCTCAAATATGATTGGTTTCACTTTAAATTGTATTCAATTTTTCAAGATTTAAGCCTGCGCTCAATTCAAACCGGTTTTGGGGGGATTTGAGACGCGGCTAAAATTGATTAAATTCGGACACAGAAAAGTTTTGAAAAAAAAACGAACAAAGTAATTAATTATAACTAATTGGGACAATCTGTAAACTATAAGCAATAAAACTATGTTCAATTTAAATTATAAATTTTTCAAAAAAATTTGCTAATACTGAATTGTATTGCAAAATTTTCTTTTGAGTACCAGGAGCATGGGCGGATACAGTATTTAAGTGAGGGGGGTGCTAGATTTATTTGGGAACAAAAAAATCCAGATTTAGGAAGTAAAAGAAAAGCCGAAGGCGAAATTTTTTTTACTTTCCTGTTTTGCACTAGGTTTTCTTTCCCTTAAGTGCTATTGAGAAGCTATTCTGAAATCTCAATCTGTCAGGGGGGTGCAAAGGTAATGCCGCCCCCCGTATCCGCCCCTGACCAGGAGACAAACAAATTAAATGCATGTACATGTACTCTGTGTATAAAGTATCATAAAATTGGTAGCTTGTACTTAAACAAATTTAGATACCTTCTCAAAATTAAAGATTTTTCTTTTGAACATTTTTTAATTAATTCTAAAACCTGAATTTTCCATGTTATTTGTTACTTTTGTTATCAATTCACACACACCTACTGATAAGTTATACGTACAATGAAATAACAAAACATTAATAAACTGGTTCTTCCTAATTCCCAGGACTGACTCACCCCTCACTGTATAACAGTATCAGGTAGCTCAGGTACCCGAGTATAGGTTCTGCAAACACCAAACAATCAACTTTTTTTTACCTCACCTGGAAACTTTTAGATAAACGGAATTCGTCTTTCGATCTGTCTATTTAAAAATTCCCAGCATATTGCTACCAGGATGATTAGGTAAAAAATAACAAGCTTAAACAGTAGTTTCATTTAATTTCTTATTAAAGAGAAGAATTAAATTGAATTGGTAACATTTGTTTTTGCTTATTTGTGTGTTCTCAAAGCTCTGTATGCTTATCTGTTTTATAAACTTTGTGTGTTCTATACCCTTTGTATGTTTTTTTTGTTTTAGTGTTTGCTTCTTGTATTAGCTCTGTGCTCTTCTACTTTCTTTTTGTGTTCTTATAAGCCATGTGTTTCGATGTGTTTTTTATAAGCTATGTGTGTTTCTTTGTGTGTTCTACACCCTCAATGTTTTTGTATTTTTGTGTTTGCTTCTTGTATTAGCTTTGTGCTCTTATACCTTCTTTGTGTGTTCTATAGTCCATGTGTTTTTTGTGTGTTCTATAAGCCATGTGTTTCTTTGTGTGTTCTATAAGCCATGTGTTTCTTTGCGAGTTCTATAAGCCAAGTCTTTCTTTGTTTGTTTTATAAGCCATGTGTTTCTTTGTGTGTTCTATAAGCCATGTGTTTCTTTATGTGTTCTATGAGCCATGTGTTTCTTTTTGTGTTCTATAAGCTCTGTTTGTGTTTATGGTTTGTCTAGCTTTTTTATGTTCATAGGTTTTTGATCTTATAATAATATAAAAACTTACACTTGTGAGTATCTGTATGTATGATTCTTTGCGATATCTTTAGTTCGAGATCTATTGAACCAACAGCAACAGCAACAGCAGATAAGAAGAATCAGGACAACAAGGATACCAACAGCAGCACCAGCTAAAAACATAATCTATATGTTTGCTTTGTTTGTTTGTGTCCAATAAACGAAAAAACTGCTGCTGAATAAACCCACAATTTTTTTCAAGACCTCAAATGACTCCATAGAAAGTTTATGGCCGGTTAAAAATTTTGCAAAATATTTGATAAATCATTTAACAAAAAATATCTCTGAATATGCTGAATACATGAACTGATCAAAACCCACACAAAAATCTGTTCTTGGTCAATGGAGTCAATGATTGCGCTTGAAAAAGGGAATCTGCACTGTTTAAACTGAATAAAGCATTTAATGGCTTTAAATTAAAAATGTCCACTTTGGATATCGAGTTTAGGCGTTGTAGATCATCACTTTCTCATTTAAAAGTATTGACCTCAGTTAAGGTAACTGACCTTTTGGAAGATTTTCCTTCTGTTGAATATAGTCTATTGCCTCCTTGATAACTTGTACTGTATGACTGGGTGGATTGTAAAGGTAGGATCGGAATACATCCAGGCTTCCGTTAGTAGGAGGAGCAACCAAACCTAGATTAAATAATGTTTCTATAATCTTCAATTTCCTTTTTTAAAAACGGAAGGAAATTAATGTCTTGCTTATAAGTATGGAAATACAGAGCGTCCCTTATCATGCATATTAGATTATCTCCAAGCTTTACTCCAAAATAAACCCATAATAATCGAAAAACCCAATATTTTCTGCAAGAAAAAATTTACATAAGCCTTATTCAATTTTAACGAAGTGATATATTTTTCTTAACATTTCCTATTAGTCCCAAAAAAAACATAATTTAGACTGACTGATGATCTTTTATGATATGGGACACCCTGTAGAAAAAAATTATTTAAACTTACATTTTAAAACTTTATTTATGTTACTGTATAACATGTATTTATTACCTAAAAGATGAGCTATCAGTGGGAACACATCCACTGCGTCTACTTGAGCTATTTTCCCCGGAGTCAGGACGGGTTGGACAACTCCGGGTCCTCGAATTAGTAAGAAACTCTGCATGCTAGGTAGGCTATTATCATATCCTGCGAATCCGTACAGGTTTGAAAGCCGGACACTCCGGTTCGATCTGAATATTATCCGTATCATGATTATGAAATCTCAAAGAAAATTTGAATTTTTATTTCATTAAATTAAGAAATGTTTTTATTCTTATTTATTATTAATTTTTAAAGTTTTCTGAAACAAAACATTAATAAATCTATACCTCAGATTTAAATCCTTGACCTCCTTATAGAAAGTGGAAGCGAAGGCAAACCCTTCCTTCGCCACGAGGACAATATCCGTGACCCTGTCGTTGTTCTTGTATTTGTACTGGTCCGGGATCCCGTGCTTGTTGTACAGGTTGAACTTGTCTGTATCCTCGCTACCCTGGAGTGCAGCGTATATATCTAGCTGCTTGTCAACATGTACAGGTTGTAGGTTTAGAACAGGGTTCTCACCGTATATCTGATACTCCTGAATAATATCAAATTAGAAGAAAAAATTAAATAAGTTTTAGGAATTTTAGAAAAAATCTTGATCGAATTATCACACATAAAATGCACCCCGTTCAGTTAAACTCATTAATATCAATACTTTGGAAGAATTTATATAATGTCGCCTTGAATTTGAACTTGAAGCTGTCAGCTGTATTTTCCTAAGCTGTCAAAATTTTCTGCCAGAAGCTTTACAGGGATTTATTGTTTAAGTTAATAAAACAATCTAAAGTTTTGTGTTGAGATTTAAAGTTTTTATCGTGAATGAAAATTGTCTAAATTTTTTTTGTAAAGATAAATAAATAGCCCTGAACAGCTTAATTCAGTTGGGCGTTTCATATAACCAAGTAAAAAGTGATTTAGACGACATTTTAAAAATTCTTCTGATATATTAATATTAATAAGTTTCTCCAGCCATTTAAACCTGTCCAAACCGTCTTAGGTTTTTTTGTAATCTAAGTATAAGGTTTACTGATTACTTGTTTCGAACTTCTAATCCAAAATCTTTGAAGCCTGAAAGTGTAAACGTTTGATATTTCAAACTTTAACTACTTGACGAAGCATAAATCATAGAAAGAAATATGAAAGGTCTACGACATTAGGTTGCAAATTTATTAAAACAGATAAGAAAATTATTAAAAAACATATTTTTAGGTTTCATGGATTTATTCAAGATAATGGATTTATTCAAGATTATGAATTAATTTAAGATTATGGATTTATTTAAGATTATGGATTAATTTAAGATTATGGATTTATTTAAGATTATGGATTAATTTAAGATTATGGATTTATTTAAGATTATGGATTTATTCAAGATTATGGATTTATTCAAGATTATGGTTTATTCAATATTATGGATTTATTCAAGATTATGGATTTATTCAATTCTATAAGCCATGTGTTTCTTTATGTGTTCTATAAGCCATGTGTTTCTTTGTGTGTTCTATAAGNTGAAAAAAAATTCAACCCATTCGGTTCAGCCGTTTGGCTGGCTATAGGCAACATATATATACGAATGTATTGTTTTATTATATAGATTATGAACTTATTCAAAATTTTGAAATTTATTAAAGATCTCCCTGTGAGAATTTAAAAGTTCTTTAAGATTTACCTTCGAGTCGACGAGATTGCTGACATCAAAAACATTCTCTGTGGTGACTTGAAGGAACCCATGGAGGCCGGTTAGGACAAGGTTCGTATCCTCGGCTAGACCTCTTTCCTCCAGCACCTGGAGCAGGTAACCAACAAGCTGGTCAACCTATACAACACAACAATCAGGGTTCTCCTTCTTTTAACCCTAACCTAGTTGGATTTCTATAAAATTTCCTTATATATAGAGATAGGAAGGAGACTTGAGAGTGTGATATATGTCAAATTTTTAAGCAAACTCATATTTTGAATATTAAGATAAATATTAAAAAATAGAAAAGTTATTGTTTTAAAATTATGGAGAAAAAAATGGGGGTGGGCCACCCAAGGAAGGGTTAATACAGGGTCACCAAGAAGTAAAAATATACTAAATTATTAAAAAAGAAATTGTAAGAAATTGTGGTGGGTAATTAACCCTGTACATGAACATTGCGAATTGTATGTCACTTTGAAATGCTATAGATAGAAAAAGGAAAATAACTTCTCAAATGACTAATTGATCATTGTCTCAAAATTGTGCTGACTGCTGGTGTTAGTTTATTTTAAATATTTGAATAATTAAAGCTTCATTAATAAATATTAAATTGTGATTAAAAGAAATCGAATTTGGTGATAACATGTATTTAATAATTTCCCCCAAAATTTGTGTTTATAAAAGTAAGAAAGTATAAAAAACACAAAGATTACATTGACCTTCATATATTCTTATTAGAGTTTAAATAAAACGTTTAAAACCTTGTAAACTGCTAGATCCACCTCCTCTGACTCCGGTCCAAAGAATCTGATCGTATCTCCGGGTTGGTCCAGGTAGAACAGAACTAGGTTTACCGGCTTCTCTGATCTGAACCAGTCTACAACTGTATTCACCTGATTAGTCCATCTCAACCAATCCTGAGAAAAAGAAAAAACGTCAAATAAAACCAATTTTAACACCATTTTTTGGGGGGAGGGGAGGAAGCTGGAAGGGTGGAAAATACTTGGCTAACGTTTTTTTACTAGTTCCCCGATTATATCAATATTCAATTGGGGTTAACTATAAGGATTATAAGGCATCTTTGATGCATGGTGAAATATTTAGAAATTATGTTTTAAATCTTGAAACACTACATTGTAAATATGTTATAATACAAGAATTGTAGAATATTGGATTTTTGTTTCCCTGGTGTCTATGCTTAGAATGTTAAATCTTTTAACTTCTTAGACAAATATTTTGGCCTTCCTTTTATATTTCGACCTTCCATTTATATTTTGGACTTCCTTTTATATTTCGACCTTCCTTTTATATTTTGGCCTTCCTTTCATATTTTGACCTTTTGAATTGACTAGCGCAGAATTATATAATGAATTTTTAAATAACAACTGTTCTAAACTGTTTAAACTATTATGAAATGGTTTGTGAAATACGATATTTTTATAGGATTTTTCTCCTAAACTTAAAGTTTTTAACCAAACTATTAATTCATAATAGTCTTTGTAAGTAGGCATTAGAATTATGCTACATTTACGATGTACACGGGCAGCCGCAGTAAATTTGAATTTCCGAGTCGGGTCAACCTTTCCGGTCCCAGTTTGTACCGTATCACCCGGACATTGGGTATATAAACAGACACTTAATAGGACTAGCCGGTGCAACAAGGTTGACGTGGTCAGACTTTAGGTTGAATTTACTTTTACTAAACGGTCAGAGGTGCGTGTGTATAATGTGTAATATCTCTTCCTACTACATGCTTTACTTTTGCACCAGCTGCCATCGAGAAATTATTTAACAGGTGTTTTCTAACTTCTATTTCTAGAACTAGAGAAACTAACTTCATATTGAAGAATAAATACCTTTTTTTGGATATTTGGATATCTTAGATATTATCAAATAACTAGCTTCTAACCTGATCTGTAGTTTTATTAAAGAAAAATCTATCGATATTTTCAGTTTGGTTCACAGGGTTGGTTTCCTCATCTTCTATATGTCCCTCCTCCTCTCCATCCGTCCCATCAAGAGTATCTTCTATGCTGTCTGGCTCATGTAGCAATCCCCATGAGTCCTGTTCTTGTAGTATTCCAGACTCCTTGGATAAACTTCGTCTTCGTCGATCCGTTCTTCGTTCCTTGAGTTTTGAAGTTGGTGTCGTGTGCTTCGCTACCGACTCGTCGATATGATAAACAGTTCCCCACAGCCTCATGTTCTCCTGGTTCTGATAGAACTGTGCTCCAGGCCAGCCAACTGATCCTGTCAACCCCTCACCTCCATAAGCGTGTATATCCTGGAATATATTGAAAAATCTATCACAAAAGGTTACCCAAAAAGGATTAGACCCTAATGACGACCTCAACCTAATTAAATACGACGGTTTCAAGGTTGAACCTGGTTTTCTAAAGGTCAATTTAATAATGTTGAAACCAAATATTTAGGAACTAAACTCCAAGCGCCCATCTACTAGTAAAAAAATCTGAATGAATTGGTGCAGTTTTTAAAATAATAATTTTTAACCTTCTCTGGGATCATGTTAGTTGCCACAAAAATTTTGTCCCAATCGGTTCAACCGTTCTGATGTTCATTGGATACAAACAGACAGACAAGCAAAGTATATATAAAGTATATTGATGTTAAAGATGCGGGGAACCAAAAAGGTAAGAAATAATGTACATTTAATTGTTCTTTGCGGGTAACCCTTTACCTCAAATGACTGAGTGAATGTAAAATAAAATTTGTTTTCTATATATTGAGAAGAACTTACAGCAATTGTTGAAATGTTTGGATTATAATTCCAGAACAGCATGTCTGTGTACTGTAACGGTTTCCCGAAGTAGTTGACCTCCTTGCCCAGAACTCCGGTCATCTCAGAGTGCTGACCGGTCACCATAGCTTGCAGGGTTGGGAGTGATTCGGCAGGAAATTCTGGTTTCATACGAAACCCGGCTCCGTTCTCAAATATAGAGTCAAGAGCAGGGGTTGAGATTCTCCGGAGAAGCGTCTCCGTTAGTCCCTCAAGAACTAGGAGCAGAACCCTGGTGCTCAGGGTAGCTGGAAGAACAGAAAATAACAAAAATAGATATCTCATTCTTAAACTGGATTCAAACCAGTTTTAAGCTGCTCATATTATCCAAGGTTTGTACGGGAGACTGGGTGCTTGTGTACCGTAGGCTGAATATGATCTTGATAGGCTGGATTAGAACTGGAGCACTTGAAAAATTTAAAAAACTGGAGGACTGGAAGAACTTTATCAGCTAGAAGATAATATGAGAAGAAGCTGTAAGAGGTGGATTACTGAGTAAACTGTATAACTGGATGAACTGGATAAACCCACCTGTGCTGAGAAAGCTGGTATTGATTGCTCCAGCATTATGCAGGTCATATTTAACACTTGTAAACTTTGTGGATATCTCACACTAACATTGTTCCATGTTTGTAGATTATAATTTATTACTTACATTAGGCAGAACAATTTAAGCACATGTACACTTTTTATTCTCAACTGTTTTTCGTGGTTGATATTATAAATCCTAGTATCGTGGTGTATAGAGAAATAGAACTAAGATTAGAAGTAGAGGATCAGATTACACATTACAGTGTACAAGTCCGGTATATTAATATGTTTTTAATCTCAGGGGGTTCATAATATGAACCAAGCTCAAGAAGATCTCTAAACTGATTTTGTTGGAAGCTTAAATATCATAATTCTTTAAAACAACAAAAGACACAAACACGTTTCAGTGAATAATTTATTTTTTAGCAAAATTTGAACATGTTTGAGTTTACAGAAGATTTATCCTGAAAATCCTTTCAGGTTTCCGTCAGCTATAGTGTCTAGGAAAGCTAAGACAAGTCCTTGATCCTCAGGTTTCTTATCCCGGACTCGGACAATCCTAACATCTATCTTTACACTCTCTCCACCCTTCACTTTCCTAAATAATCGTTGGTTTTTTGTCAGAACATATAAACAAGCTTCCCCGTCCTGGTAGAGATATGTATTTATTGGGATTTTAAGAAAAAAATTAAACTCATTCCTTATGTATTTTCAAAACAGCCATTTAAAGCTCAGTTTGATAAACAATTTTTTAAATTGAATTGAACACGCAATTCTATAATGGAGATTTACTTGAAGTTTTGACGACTGCAGTGCCTTTAGGATGACTTACCCGTCACTTTTCCCTTGTTCTCCGTATGCCAGGTTGGGTCCCAGGAGCAGGGTTCTCTCTTCATCTACACAAGCTCCGGTCAACCCAGACTCCAGTCCTCGAACAAACCTGATTGCTTTGGGGTTTCCGAATCTGATCTCCAAGGACGGAGTGTCAATGAAAACATTTCCTTTTCCATCAGGTTGGATAACTCTACCCTCAATATCCATAGTTACATCAATATTAGGTCTGGCCTTCTGTCCTTCATTACAGCTTCCACCTGGAGTAAATATATCAAACTTTAATCTTTATCTCGGCTTGGAGATAACAAGATGGTGTTTTCTCTCATTTCAATCCAGAAGATAAAACATGAGAGGAAAAAACTATGAAAAAAAAATGCATTAAAAGGGATTGTAGACGTAATTTCAATGACTTCCATCTGCAAAATGGCATGTCTGATTTTCAACCATTTTACCCTTTAACCCAAAAGAATTACTACGGAATCCCTTAAATCGGACAACAGTTTAAATCGGACATGCCAATCCTTAAAATGAAGGAACACTTGAAATTATGTATACAGTCTCTTTAAAAAGTAAAAAGAATGATTGATAGGTTTGAATTAGCTCCGATCAAGGAAATGAATAAATGAAGTTTAACAATGAAAAATGTTATGCTAACCTGATGCAGGTTTAATGGTTCGGACGATTCCATTCAGACTTGTGAGGAAGTAAAGAGTTGAACCGGGGGGAACCTGGAATTAAAACATAATCTTATAAGTTCACTTACCCCCCCCCCTCCCTTTTATTAGTGTTTTAGGGACTGTAGAAGGAATTTCATGTTGCAGGTCCGATTTGATCAGTCAAATATTTAAAGATTATCTTTGTAAATGAAACATGCCACCCTACACCCTACACAGCCCCTTTAAATATGTTTTTTATTTTATCTAAACCTTGTCGGAAGGACTATCTCCGTATCCGTACTCTGGAGGAACTATAATATTAATCTTCTCTCCAGCACAACCTCCCTCCATACCCTGCTCTAACCCAGGAATTACGTTCTTCTCACCGATCACGAACTCCGACTGACCGCTATCGAACTGGGTTCCATTGGATAGAAGACCAATATACTCCATAATCACTTTATCCCCTTGTCTAGACAAATGAAAATAAATTATGAACAGATTTTAAAACCCCTCCAACTCCAACTTGAGGAACTGATTACTCATTTTAAACTCTTATTTTCAAATCTTTGTTTTTGCAACCTTATTTAAACCTTATATAAACCTTATATAAAACTTATATAAACCTTATATAAACTTATAAACTTTTAAAATTTCAAAATTTTAACATTTGCATTTCATACATATTCATAGTTTGAAATATTAAAGGTCTACAACATCAGATTGCAAAGATTTCTGTAGACATTATCATATATTTTTGGATTTCATTTTATGAGAAGAAAAATTGTTTTATTATGTTTGACAATAAGAATAGTTTTAAAATTGGCTATTTCTGTTTAAAAGATTTGGTCCACCGTCCCGTTTTGCATTTTAAACATAGACTGTAATTATGTGTACCGCACACTGTACAGCTTGCTCTAGCTGCTTAAAAGTCGGCCCTGTACTTGAAATAAACCGGAGTTTCCAGTGACTGCAATTTTAAGTGACATTCATGAAAAGACTGGGGTTTCCGTCTCACAGTGACGAGGATACGGTTGTTAAGCGGATATGTCTCTAAATGGATGGTCACGTGTAATTAGTGTTGTTATTTTTTTTGGATCGTTTTTTGAAAAAAGTTAATAAATTATGTTGAAGTCTTTGCAATATCTTTATCCAAAATATAAAAATTGGAAAAACGATCCAAAAACGATGGTTACAACACGCTTGTTTTTAGATCGTTTTTGAATCGTTTTTGGGTCGTTTTTGGATCGTTTTTAGATGGTTTTTGGATGGTTTTTGGATCGTTTTTGGGTTGTTTTTGGATCGTTTTTGCATCGTTTTTGGGTCGTTTCTTGCATATATCTTTTGCCAGGATCAAAATTTGCCAAACTTAAAGGAATGCAAATATTTTAAATAAAAAATTGCTATTATTACATTATGACAAATTTTGACCCTGAAAGAAAAAAACGAACCAAAAATAATTACAAGTACAGTCCCTTTAAGAGAGATAAAATGGAGAACGTTAAGGAAAAAATGCAAAAGTTAAAAAATATGAAAAATAGAAAATAAATAAGCAAAATTCATCTCACCTTGCACGATCATTGTTTGAGCAGTTCAGGGGAGGTTCTGCCTCCTTCTGGAAGGTTTCATTCTGTCCTGCAACCTGCCCTAGGAGAAGGATAAATATAGAGGGGAGAGCAGGGTTCATGTTGGTTCTCTACTCTAGAGTCAGCAACCAACTGAAGGAACAGGTTTGGGTTCAAGAAGGAACTAAACAATGGGTTCTCTCAGCATTTAATGCAACAACAGTAAATATTTGTTCTTTGTATTTGCATGTTCAATTCATCTAAAATATTTGATTATCATTGATAGTGAAAAAAATAAGAACAAAACAGCTTCATTGCTTCTTGAAGTTGAATACTCCCCCCCCCCCCAAGAAAAAAAATATATTTCTTTGATCAAAATCTAAAAGGAAGTTTTCTTGTTTTTTTAAGGGTTTAAAGAACGACGGAGAGTATATTTATCTGACTCAATTAGAGATATGAATCATGAGAAAGGAACTAAACACTTGCCTCAAACTCTAAATATCTAATCCTTATATTTGTGCAACCAGTGGCCGAATTTAAAGAATTTGAGCGGCGGTTTAAATTTAAGCCGCGGTTTAAATATGGTTGGTTCCACTTAAAATTGTACCAAATTTTTCAAGATTTAAGCCGGCGCCTAATTTAAACCGGGTTTTGGCGGATTTAAACCGCGGCTCAAATTCTTTAAATTCCATCTCTGATGGCATAAACCATTGTATTTAACTTCAACTGTTTGATCAAGCAGAGTTCTTAGTTTGAAATATAAAAAGTTTACGACATCAGATTGCAAAGATACAGAAATTAGAGAATAAGAAAAATAATCCCTGTCCTATAAAGTTCTTCTAAATCATATTTAAAACTACAAAAAGTGAGAATTATACTTGCTTAACATAAAACAATAACAACAAAATAAGCTGACAAAGATAATATTTTGCTAAATAATTGGGAAAAGGATTGAATTATTCTCAAATCCAAAGAGAAATGATAAAAAGGTCATCTAAGATAAAAATATAATGATTGTATTTGTTAAATGGGCACTATATACACCCTCCCCAAGCCTAGCTCCTGCTCCAGATTGTAAAAAGATGAAAATTACGCGAAAAATACACCCTTAAAGACCAACAACCAAAAAAAACGCTCTTAAAGACATGTGGCACTCATCACATTTTATAAAATTTTAATATTTTTTGACATTTACGAAATCTACGCAACATTTCTTAACAATGAAAACCACTGAGATGTCTGTAGCACGAAAATTTATGATACATATGACAATTTGAAGTTTACCACTTTGGTTTAGTTGAGTTTGTACAAAAATTGAGTCTTTGCCACAAACTCAAATTTTCTAATTAACATATTTTTATGGGTAATGTTACGTAGTTTTCGAAAAGGCCCAAAAATCTAACCACAATGAGAGTCCCAGAACCTTGAAGATCGTTATTTTGGGCCACCCTGTAAATCGTTGCCCCTTATCATGCAAACCTTTGGTATTTTAAACTTTGCCTATTTGGTTTAACAGAATACATAATTTGAAATATCAAAAGACTACAACATCCGGATCCAAGATATTTAAGGATTAAAAAATTAGAATGTGAAGCTAGTGATATTTATGTATTACATGTGTGAATGCAGAAATTAAATGTGCTTTAATCCAGGTTCCCAGGCCATATTCTATAGCTTAACCTCAGGGCTTGACAATTAGATATTTCACAGAAATTCTGAAGAAATATTAATTTTGTTCTGGAATCTTGTAAATTGTAATAATCTCAAACTATTAATGAATTCCAATTGGACCATCAAAAAGCCTGGTTTTTACAATTAATTAAACTGGTGTTCAGGATATTTCGACCATTTCCATTAAAATAGATAAATGGGAACAACATATGTCAGTAGTTGGTCCTCCTAAAATGATATACTCATGAATCAATGATAAATGATGATTCTTAAAAAAATTGTAGAAGTAATCATGTGACCCTCAATTAAAAGAAAAGCAGAAGAGCGTCCCTGATAAACAACGGTAAAAGTTATAAGTAACCTTTACCTTATCAATTATGAGAAAGATGTCGTGGTGTTTCTCGCATAAAAAGTTTTCAATTAAAAAAGATTCCCTCGTTTTTGTATCAGAAATGCACAAGTCATTTTATATAGAAACCTAAGTTCGAAATATTTAATTTTCAAAGAGAAAATGTTTGATATCTCATGCATAAGGGTACCGTTGTGAATCGAAAATTAAAATGACGTCTACTGTCCTTGAAATCGCTGATGTCGCCAATTGATTACATAAATCAGGAGTCTACATTTTTAGAAATATTATAATTCAAAACTATTAAAGCATCATGAGTCATGACAATGCTGACTGCTGATGTAATGGGTTGGAAATATTATAATTCAAAACTATTAAAGCATCATGAGTCATGACAATGCTGACTGCTGATGTGATGGGTTAGAAATCTTGGGACGCAATCTGTTATCTAGCAGAATAAAAAAAATATAAAATTTGAAAAATATAAAAATTCAATTTTTTAGTAAAACAGTAGATTCCATTTATACATAACTTCAGATTTATTTAAATAATTATCAAATTACACAGAGATTTACATGAATAAATTATACGAATATCATCTCTTTTCATTATGGTTGAATTTCACCAGTTGTTCTCAGGACGGATATGCTCTCCAGAACTTCTCCTAAAATATTTTTTCCAATTATAAAATCCAAAATATTTAAGAAATAAACAAGCTGGCTACCTGACTGCGTTAGTTATAGAATCCTTTCTATGGCTGACAACAATGGCAACCTCGTCTCCTCGTTTTGCCTCCGCAGAATCTTTTCTTCCTTGGGTTTGATTGCTTGCTATACTCTGAGCACTATCTGCCCGTTCTATTCCTCTCTCCGGAGTAGGCGTGCTCCAAGCTCCTTCTTCATTCCTCCCAGCTTTCCTGCTCCCGCCTCTAGATAGGATACTCATCCCTAGACTAGCGAAGCTGGATCCACTTGACTCGGAATCTGTTCTCCGGAACTTATTGAAATGTTCATGGAAGGCAGGGACGGAGAGGGTTGGTCTTAAGTCCTGGGAGTTTGGAGCCAGTGCAGAGCTAATACTGGAGCAGGAGCTTTCCTTACTGTCCGTTCTTCGGAGATGTTTTCCAAAATCGTTAAATCCTCCTCCGGGTAGGTCAAGATGGTTTCTGCCATGTTGTCTGAACGAAACTGATTTGTTGTTTTTTCTTGAGTCTCTGAACATTAGATGAGGATATCTCCAAGGGGATTTAGGTGCTTCCATTTCAAATGCATAGTTGTCCAAACCCTCAGGGTGAGCTGATCTACCGTCCCGGTCTCTCTTAGACAGTCTTCGGAGTAACCTTGTTCCTAATCCTGCACTTGGAGGCTCCTCTAGACGTGGAACAGCTTTCTTCTTCTTCTTCGTCTCATGGGAGTCTTCAATGATTGTGTGTCGGTCGAAGGGAGTTCCAAAATCTACCTCAAGGATAGTGGAAAACTTGTGAGGATAGATCAAATCAATCAATGAAACAGCTCCACCGAGTAGAACGCAGAGAACGCCGGCAACCATGACCAACCAGAAGCTCCAGCCGAAGGAGAACATGAGAATGGTCTGCTCCATCCTGATCTGGAGAGGAGTTGAAGGAAGGAGTTGGGAGTAAAGGAAGTTAGTAAAGAGCAGGGTGAGTCCTGTGAGAAAGACCAGATAAGCTCCGTATCTAGGAACCACAACAAGGAGAAGGTTGGAGAGTAACCACAAAGCAAAGGCCATCCTTAAAAATATGAGAATCATGAGTTTAAATGTTAAATGTTAGATCTAACTCTAACAATTGCATAGTAAAAGATTTGTAAAATATCATGATGGAATTGAGTCTCTTTACCACAAACTTAAATTTTCCCGAGCTGATGGTGAAAACTTTAGATCTAATTAACAAAATTCATAGTTTGAAATATCTAAGGTCTACGAAATTAGGTTGCAATGATGCAAAGAACTCAGTTCCTTTGACAAGAAATATTACCAGAGAAATATAGAAGTATAGTATCCAGCCTGTCTGTAGCTCCGACCCCAACAGAAACCTTCAGCATCTACAGTAAAGTACTCACCGACAGTTAGAATAGGAAAGGGTAGTCCCTGAAATAAGAGAAACAAGATTTATAAGGTATATTCATATATTTCGAATTTTATCTTTAGATATCTTACAAAATTAAAATCAGATACGAGTCACTATCTTTATGTTTGTATTATTGTTTTTGACTAGATAGTTTACTTGGATAGTATCCAAGTTACAATCAGGGTGAAACTCATGTGTTTGAGTCTAGGCAGATATCCACACAAAAGTTTCTACCTCAGGCTAGTTACTAAATTAATTAATATGACGGTTCATTCAAATTCTTATGGTTTTACCTTAACAAGGGCTTTATTGTATTCTTTCTTCATTTGGCTAGCTCCGGTCCAATGGAACCTCTCATTGTAATCAATACTACTGGAATGGTTGTGGATGGGAAGAGCTCTGAGTGTAACATTAACACTGTTGAGACCAATATTAATCCCAATATCAGCGTTTATCTTCTCTCTAGAGAATGCTCTGTATGCTGTGGATATCTGGGATTCTGCTGTATGCCAACCTGATCCATGCTGACCGACTAAACATAACAATATTTAGACCTGGTTCAACCTGATCCATGCTGACCATATAATTCAAAACTATTAAAGCATCATGAGTCATTTTTGCATCGTTTTTGGGTCGTTTCTTGCATATATCTTTTGCCAGGATCAAAATTTGCCAAACTTAAAGGAATGCAAATATTTTAAATAAAAAATTGCTATTATTACATTATGACAAATTTTGACCCTGAAAGAAAAAAACGAACCAAAAATAATTACAAGTACAGTCCCTTTAAGAGAGATAAAATGGAGAACGTTAAGGAAAAAATGCAAAAGTTAAAAAATATGAAAAATAGAAAATAAATAAGCAAAATTCATCTCACCTTGCACGATCATTGTTTGAGCAGTTCAGGGGAGGTTCTGCCTCCTTCTGGAAGGTTTCATTCTGTCCTGCAACCTGCCCTAGGAGAAGGATAAATATAGAGGGGAGAGCAGGGTTCATGTTGGTTCTCTACTCTAGAGTCAGCAACCAACTGAAGGAACAGGTTTGGGTTCAAGAAGGAACTAAACAATGGGTTCTCTCAGCATTTAATGCAACAACAGTAAATATTTGTTCTTTGTATTTGCATGTTCAATTCATCTAAAATATTTGATTATCATTGATAGTGAAAAAAATAAGAACAAAACAGCTTCATTGCTTCTTGAAGTTGAATACTCCCCCCCCCCCAAGAAAAAAAATATATTTCTTTGATCAAAATCTAAAAGGAAGTTTTCTTGTTTTTTTAAGGGTTTAAAGAACGACGGAGAGTATATTTATCTGACTCAATTAGAGATATTATGAATCATGAGAAAGGAACTAAACACTTGCCTCAAACTCTAAATATCTAATCCTTATATTTGTGCAACCAGTGGCCGAATTTAAAGAATAATAACAATATTTAGACCTGGTTAATCATAATCCACATACAACATGGATAAACAGAATACGAGTGTTCATTTTTATGCCAATTTTGCTTTTTAAATCAATTATTTTTTAGTAAACATTTAGGGAATAATCCTTTGTTTAAAGGAATTAAGTGTTTGCCACAAACTCTGATTTTTTAATCTCTTTATATCTTTACAAGTAGTGTTAAATATCAAAGGTTTACACACTCAGAGTGTTAAGATTTTGGGATTAGAAAATTTATGTTTGTAGCAAAAACTCAATTCCTTTGAGTTAACTTTTACCGATATTTAAAAGTATTCTAATATGGAAAAGTAAAAACGAATTCTCCAAAAGAGACATTCAAATATTATTTCAAATATGATTTCTGAAACCTCCGAGTTTTAACTTTTTCAAGTGAAAGAAAAAAGACTATCCATGATATACAATACATACCCTAATGTCGACATAATTCATAAGCTCATTAAATGTTAAGTTAATAGCATAACCTTCAATTAACTTGGATCTGATAGGTTCAGCCGTATACATATATCCATATACATATTTATATACATATACTTTAAGTTTGTCTGTCTGTATCCAAAAAAAGTCTGAACCGATTGGGCCCAAGTTTTTTGTGGCAACTCACATGACCCCAAGGAAGGTTTATGGCTGCGAAAATTCGAGATCGATTTAAAATGCCAACTTTGAGAGTTCAAAGCTAAAATTGTTAACAGGAAAGGTGACGCGAAGCGTCCTAAATGACTAGTTGGGACGAAAATTTCTATACTAACCTAGTATAGCGGTTCCGACAAACAGAGAAAGAGCAACACTGGTGAATGTGGTGAACCTCTGCCTTCTTACTCCAGGGAAGATGATAAGGAAGGCCAGGAACAAGGTGACGAACACGATGTAGAGGGTGAGGGTGCTCACGTCAGCTGTGACAGGAGTACGGTTTGTGTATGAGTAGAGGGTTGGACCTCCATTCTCACGAAATGCATCAAACCACCCTCGCATCATCTTTCAATACCTCGCCTCACACACTTCTAAACATTATCCTAGCTAGGTTTCTATATATTAACATTTATCTTGTATATAAAATCTGATACAATGTATATATTCAGACACTGCTACTATAGAACTGTTTGATACCTCCTAGCTAGGTTTCTATATATTAACATTTATCTTGTATATAAAATCTGATACAATGTATATACTCAGACATTGCTACTATAGAACTGTTTGATACCTCCTAGCTAGGTTTTCTGATATTAACATGTATCTTGTATATAAAATCTGATACAATGTATATACTCAGACAGTGCTACTATAGAACTGTTTGATATCTCCTAGCTAGGTTTCTGATATTAACATTTATCTTGTATATAAAATCTGATACAATGTATATGCTCAGACACTGCTACTATAGAACTGTTTGATATCTCCTAGCTAGGTTTCTGATATTAACATGTATCTTGTATATAAAATCTGATACAATGTATATACTCTGATACTGCTACTATAGAACTGTTTGATATCTCCTAGCTAGGTTTCTATATATTAACATGTATCTTGTATATAAAATCTGATACAATGTATATATTCAGACACTGCTACTATAGAACTGTTTGATATCTCCTAGCTAGGTTTTCTGAACCGGATGTATGGGATGATATTCTATCATTTGCTCAATGGGTTGCGTGCTAATCATTTAGAATTTGGAAATATATTAAAGTTATGCTGAACAATAATAATAAGTGTTGAATAAAAATACAAACGATATTATTGAAGTTTAGGTTTGAACTTATTATAGAATTGAACTGTTAAGCAAAGTATTATATTTAAGAAACTAAACACTCACCAAAAAATGTAATTTTCTTCTCCTTTTATCTTAGCAACCTACTTTAAACCTTGGATATTTCCATCATAAACTATTTGAATCCATAGTTTGAAATATCAAAGGTCTGCGACATTAGGTTGCAAAGATATAATGATTTGAAAATGACATTTTGTGTCGAGTGTTTAGTTACTTTCTAAAATGTTAATAATGATTTTATATCTTGCTAGACCGGATCTGAATTATGACTAGCATCAATGATTTCTAATGATGGAGCAGGATTGAATTCTGTTCTCTTGGTTTAGAAATAGGGATTCCCAGGTTCAGAGAACTAGAACTATCCAGGTATTACATGTCTCATGCTTTTTTGTGAAAATAGGCTAGTTCATCTTGATTGAACTTTTCTATTTCTTTTTTCCCTACTCTCCTATCCTACTTCTTTTCCGTCCTCTACTTTCGTACTTCTACTATTTCTCCTTATCTTAAAGGGAGTGACCGGCAATGTATGGTGGTTGAACTGAATATGTAGTATTGTGGACAAATTTTTTAGAATTCATTTGAGACATATAAAACGGTTCCACAACGTATATTTACTGAGTTTGAGCGCAAAGTCGACATTCAAAATCATGAATTTGGGAGGGTACGTTTCCAGAATCGGTTTTTTTAAAATTATTAAATAACGACGACAAAAAATGTAAATAAAATTCTACAGTAAGCTAATTAGTTGTTTGGAAACAGGTTGAGAAAATAAAAATTAACTCTTATCATCGAAAAAAAGTAATCTTATTCAAATATTAGTTTCTATAATCTCTCATTTATTAATAAACATTTTCTGCAGATTTTCTGTAATTTTTATCGAAAAGGCGACACTCGAAGAATTTGTAGAAATCTGCGAACAAATTCATAGAAAATAAGAAATTCAATATAATGATGAAAACGAAATAATTGATTCTAGCATTGCAGATTTATTGACAAATTTATTTTGAGAAATATGTTCCTAAACACCCAATAAGTTTACCGTAAAATTTTTACTATATTTTTCGTCGTCGTTATTTATAATTGAAAAAAAAACCCGATTCTGAAAACGTACCCACCCAAATTAATGATTTGAACGTCAACTTTACGCTCAAACTCAAAAATTATACATCGTGGAAACGTTTTATATATCTCAAACGAATCGTACAATACTGCATACTCAGTTCAACCACCATATATTGCCGGTCCCTCCCTTTAAAGGGACTGTAAGCGTAATTTCAAGTGACCATCTATTTAAAGATGGCAATGCCCGATTTACAAAGTACGGTACCCTTGAAACCTTAATATTATCAAAAATGAGGAAGATAACTCCTTTTTCTGACTCTAGATAGTTTATTTCTGATAATTTTTCCATTGTTTCTTATAATCAAGAAATGCGCCGGTCACGTTTGTAAAGAAACCGCAAATGAAAATAAATACTTCAAAGAAACAAAAACATAAATATCTAATTCATACTTGATCAGACAAAGCTTTAAAGGGTACCGTTGTAATTGCCATCTTTGCATGGAGGGTTACATGAAATTGCACTTACAATCCCATTAAATTTGCCTTTTTTCTTACTCCTACTCATATTCTTACTTTTATCATGTTTTATCATTAACTCCTAGTCCGTCTTGTCTGATGAGAAGCTGGTTAAGAGTTTACCTGAATAGTTGAACCCAGGTTAATCACTGCCAAGTTTAGGGTTCAGTGCAATGTAATGCTTTCCCTCCTTGTCTGGGTCTTGTTTAACCTATAGGTTCACAAGATATCCAGCCTAGGATTCAAACCTAACAATCCGGGACCAATTAAGGAGCCAAGCCCTGTTCAAACCCAGTTTTAAAGGTTAAAAAAAATATGAAACTGGAGAATGCTGTATGTGCAATCCTACTGGAGAAAGCAAACCGACTGAACCACATTGAAAGAAAGAGAAATACTAAAAAGCAATGATTCAACCAAACCGAAGTCTTCTTCCAGGGATTTGTTCTGCTCTACCAATTTTCTCGATATGGCTAACTGTGCAGTAACCTTTATATAGGCAGAAAACAACTATTCAATATTCGGGCCTTGTTTCCCAATTTCATGGTTTAAATCACAATGGATAAAACTATAATTAAACAAAAGGAAAATCTTATTTCTCGTCATTGGAAAATTTAGAACCAAATAAATAAACCGAGGAGCTGAACATTCGCCTCAAACTCAAAGTTTTCAATATATATAACTTTGCAACCTTTTGGTGCCAAACTTAAAATTTTTAAACTTTAACTCTATGTTTTATCAGAACTTATAGTTTGATAAATCAAAGTTCTACGTCTTAAAATTGAAAAAATATAGTGATAAGAAAATTAGAATTTGAGTAGAGTAGAACTAACAAACAAACCAAAATAAAAAACAAGTTTTCTAATCCTATTAAACCAAAAGACATAATTGATATAATTCCTTTTTCTTCGACGAAAACTTACTATTTAACATCTGCATGATTTATTCAAATCTGGTTTTAGAGCTGAAAGTGACCAATACAAGTTAAAGTTACAAAAAAAAACTTCTCATTCTCAGTAACAAAGAATGTTTAAACTAAAGTAGATTGTTATGTTACATTTAATGAAAATTCTTTAAATATTCGTATTTTGTGTTGATAGGATGAACGGAAAGTATTTACTCTCTTTAGTTTTGTATATTTGCTAATTTTAGCACTTTTGTGAATATCAAAATAATTTTGTTTTAATCTTAAAAATTAAATTATATTCGGTATTTATTAGACTCGTTAGTCTGGAAGACGAATTTTTAATAAATCATAGATCTGGTAAAACTCGGAGGCGTCCATTAATCAAACTGATATCATTGTATTTAGGAAGCATAAAACCCCTCATATCAAAACATAAAAGATAAAATAATATTTTCTGATCAATAGAACGGATTGAAAGGATTCCTAAAGGGCAACACTAGCTTGTAACGGTTTGGTGGGCAGAGTTTGACTGGCAACACGAACAGTGTTCAACACCCCCACCCGGAGAACCCAAGGTTAAACCAGGCCTAGACCGTTCTATTCGAAGCGCGCGCGCTCAGCTGATAGAACTAACTGTGCCTGACATTTTCATGCGCTGAAAAGGAACTGAGAAGTATTCGCCTGGTTTGCTCTAGCTGGGCTGGGATTGATAAAACCGGTTCAAGGGATGATGCAATAAAAAATACAGCAGGTGCTTTAACTTGGATTATGTCCATTATTAAAACAAGAAATAGCGCAGAATGTGTAATTTACTATTTCACAACGGAACATTTTAAAATCCTTCATTCATTATAATTTACGTGGAAAACCATCACGTCATAAAAAAAATTTTTTTTTTTATTTTTGCTCCGAGATATCCCACAGGTTTTTTAGAATACTGTATCAGTGTATATACAATATTTAAATATTTTTGTACAAATTTTTATTTATCTTTCATGAAAAATAATTTTAAAAAGTAAATTTGTTAAAAATAATTTAGTGCTTTAAAAAAATGCATATTTTTGCCTTTTTAGAGTTAGAATCATATTTGTATGCAAAAAAACAAGATTTCTCCAAATTGAAACAAAATATATTTACAAAAAGTTTAAATTTACGAAACCCGTCCAGAAATAAAAAATAGGCACAGGTTTAACCACAAAGGATAAGCCTTTAACGAAGACCTAAAACTCTGCAATGGAAACAGCCTTATATTGACATATTACATAGTTTGGCAAAAAAAAAAGTTTATAGCTGTAGGAAACCATGAGCACAAGAAACAAGAAACGAGTTTATAGCTGTAGGAAACCATGAGCCCAAGAAACAAGAAACAAGTTTATAGCTGCAGGAAACCATGAGCACAAGAAACAAGAAACAAGTTTATAGCTGCAGGAAACCATGAGCATAAGAAAAAAGACTTGAAAAATGTCTCACAATTGTCTCTGAAGTCTAATCCTTTGAGGGTAACCCTATATATTAATGTAAAATTCACATCTCAGCAAAAAGTGCTAGATTTCTTTCTTTGGCGTGCAATGTATGCATTAATACAGTGATACACGGTGAATTAGTTTACAAGCAAAATTGGGATGAAATGCCGTTAATTTTGTTTTTAATATTTAATATATATTGAACCAAATTGGAAACCCTACTTAGTTGTGTTTCTAATTCCAGAAATATATTCCACATATTTTCTATTATTATATTATAACTTTTTCTAGAATTGTTAAACCTGTAATGGTTGGTTTAATTAGCCCCAAAACTCAATAAAAATACCAATTTGGCCAAAACATTTACGAACTGTTTAGAGTACACGCATTGCTGTAAACCAGGCAGAAGGAGAAGGTCTCAATTTAAATATATATGGAAGTACTGGTGACTTTGTAACCTCGTAGCTTCTCATATTTTGATTTTACGCTCAAGTATAAGAAAAGAAAATGTGTCTAATTACAAATCAGAAATTTAAAACACAAAGCCAACACCTCACTTCAAACATGACTTATACTTTCTAATACAAGAAGTATATGGATAGTTCTTAACCCTATTCCGATTGGGCTATTTTTGTATAATATACATGGGGGGGGGGGAAGTCCAACTTTTCAAGAAAAGCTTATTCCTCTACCTTTAATGGTTAGGATGCAATGGAGGTTTTAAAATTTTTTTTAAGTATGTTTGAAAATTGTTCAAAAATAGATATTTTTACCTTTTGACAAATATTTACATGTGACACATGTTATTTCATCCATTTTTCAAGGACTTCTCAAATACAGCCATGTAGCTTAATTAATAAAAAAGTTATTAACTATATGATACGGACGGAAATCACATGACCAGTTAACTGCACTGCCATTGGCTGAAATTCTGGTGACGTAATACGGTCCTACGGACTATACGGACTTAATGAAATAATATTATCAATATTCAATTATGTCTATTGTAAATTCAAAATAAAAATTTCAAAAATTATGATAGGAGCAAACCTGAGATTCTCAGACTCCTGTGGGATATAATCGTTTCCAAATTGGTTGCGTATTTGCTGAATATGATCTGTTTAAACCTAATACTTTTTTCAAAATTTTCCTAATATTTTTACACAGTTTTATATCAATTTCTCGACACAGATACATCAGATAGAACTCTTATATGTATTATTCAACGCCTGAGATTCTCAGGTTTCATCCTTTACACCCTTTCATTTTTCCTGTACAGTCCCTTTAAGTTATAATTCGAACCAAAAATGATCGAAAAAACTTCAATGTTGCTCATTTAAAGGCGCAATATGTGAATTATTTACCATGTGCAAATATATACATTTTTGTTCTGAGAAAGATGGTTTTAAAATAAACAATATTTAACACATGCAAATCTATATAATAAAGCTCTCATATATGTCAACTAGCTGGCCAAACGGCTGGACCGAATGGGCAGAATTTTTTTGAGGAAACCCATGGGTACCCGAGGAGTAACATAGGTTAACATTTTTTTGAAAAATTCGTTTTTTTTATTCCACGGGCAATGCTATATATAATAATTCTCTTCACTCATATAAATATTTTTTACAGAATTCCAATCTTTTTTAATTCCAATTTTTTTCAATTCGAAATTTTTTATCACAATTCGAATTTTTCTCTTTTTTAAATTCTACAGGCAACGTCGGGCACTTCAGCTAATAGATTAAAATCTTGTCAATTAAGGTCTTATTATTGTGAATTAATTTCCTTATTGTTTGAATGACATGAAGTATTTTATAATGGTCTTGTGAGGGGATTGCAATGTCCTTAATTCAATGTCAAGGACATGTTTATATATTTTCATATTTTCAAACTCGTACACATATCATACATTGCACATATACACACATGTACACTTTCTCTCATAAATACAAACATTGCATGTACAAATACACATAATACGCCTACGTAAATACATTGCTAACATAATAAATAAAACACAATAAATGGATAGCATACATCCACATAACACACGCGTACACATTTACAATTGTACATACATAAATTAAAAATATATACGAAAATGCATTTACGAAATACATAAACTACACACACAAAATACACGTACATACTGCGAAAATATCATTACAATGTACGTATATGCAGATGTCCAATGTTCATATACGGATAATAATAGTTGTAGACATCACTGCGAATTAATGTGGAATTAAATATTAAAAAGAATTGAAATAAAATTAAAAAGGGGATTAGTTAAGGATATTTAAATAGCACTAAAAGGACGCAAAGTCCTCCAAGTCTTTGTTTACTAAAAAGGATGGAGAACAATATTAAAGCTCAGCCATTTTTAGACAAAGCTAAGCGGTTAGTTGAATCCTGTTTATTATAATCCTTGAATTACAAAACTAAGAATTTTAATCCTTGAATTACAAACATATGAATTCTAATCCTTCTATTACAAAACTAAGAATTCTAATCCTTGAATTACAAAACTAAGAATTCTAATCCTTGAATTACAAAACTAAGAATTCTAATCCTTGAATTACAAAACTAAGAATTCTAATCTTTGTATTAGAAAAATAACAATTTTAACCCTTGAATTACAAAACTAAGAACTCTAAAGTCGTGATCATTTAAAATCTGCTTGTAACATCCTTCTGGGAGAAAAAAGATTACATCACCTTAACATCTAACACTCAAAGAAGACATGACATTACTTTCTGAAAATGAACACACCAAGGATTTGGTTTAAATGTTCATGTTTAAAGAATTTATAATCCATGAAGTGCATAATGATAAGATCAGCTGATAAAAGTAAAGTTAAATGTGGTCCAACGAAGACGATTGGAATATTTTTAAGTATTTTGGAATATTTTTACAATGTATTTTACCAATGCGGAATATTGTATTAAAAGGCTTAAAAGCGATTTGTTGAAAAGTTATAAAAAACATTTGTGTTTAAGTGTTAAATTGTGTAATCGGAATTTATGACAATTTTAATGTAAAGAATTTGGTTGCGATGTAAAGAATAAGGGAAAAAGTTTCTAGAATTGGGTTGCAAGGTTCAGAATTTATTGTATCATCAGGCAATGATATTTTTCTTGTAAAATTGACAAAAAAGTAAGAGTTAGGTATTAAGTGATGTCATGTGCCAACTCTAGGTTTAATATTACACCTAGAGATGGCACGCAGATACAGAGAAGTGTCTTGTACAGAGTTAAATACATTGGTTAGTTGATCCTTTATTGCAAATATATTTGATAACAATTTGGAGTTAAAACTGATAATACGGATAGTCTCATATAATGTTATAATAAACCCCAGCACAACAATTCGGAATGAATACTCAAAAACCTTAAAGAATTTAAGCAGCAATGTTCTAATATGTACATATGTGATAAACCGTGTTATAGGATTAAAATCTGGTTCCTTTCTTATATTTTTAACATATTATTACGGATATAAAACTTCCTAATACATGTACAAACATATTTGGTCAAGGGTTGAGTCAGAACATTTTGAGATTGAATTGGGATTTTTATCTCGTGAGTTCTCTACCTCAATAGGTAAGAATCACGCATCGATCTCAAAATATTCTATTTAAACCCTTGATGCAGGTACAGAAATAGTTATCTAAAATCTTTCATACAATCTTATTTCCTATACAGTGAGGCCCATCAATATGTGGAAAAGGAAGACACTCTGAAACCTCAAGTCGTGGTTATAAAACACTGCAATTATGCTGTGTATACTGCATGTACATTGTACACCCATTTCAATCATGAAATTGATTTTTAAGCTATTGGCAACACTATTTGCTATATGACAAAATACTCATGAAATTGCGTGAATGTCGTCTCCCTATTCTAAAGTTATACGGGTCTCACAGCATATATGTATGCGGCAAAGAAATTAATTAAATAAATCTATCATAAAAAATAATAAAAATTCATGAATTTAAAAATCCATAATCAATAATATAAGTGTACATATATTGTAAATACAAAAGATACACATATAGATGAGGGATGAATACATTTTAAACTATTCTTTTATCAAATATTCTCTATACATATACATACATATATTCAGTGATATGACCTAACTCGGATTTGTAATTATATCCTTATATTTCCTAGATACAGTATCGTATACCTGTTGAGTGTGTAAGGCGAGATACTTGATGATTTCAACCCATTCTACATGAAGGATACGTTAGAGATAGATATCTGTATCAACAATATGATACGCTCACAGCTCAAACTTTATTCACAATAAATTAGATTCAGCTCATTCCGTTAAATAACCATTCACTGGGGGAGAGGACTTATGTTTCTCTCTAACCTTGATCTGCTCTAGTCTAACTCTACACTGAACCCGGAGCACAAGTTTAATTCCTTGTTTAAGGAAGCATGATGATAAAAGATCAGTTTAAACTAGTAGTTCTCTGCTACTCCACTATATTACTGTGAGTGTAGGGTCGGGTTATAGTTTACGAAATGGGATGGAGCGGGAATGGTTGGATCTGGTTCTCCTGTAGCGAAAGTTCGCAGGAAAATATATCCTTGGTTGAGATCCTGGCAGGCCCGCCCCAACTCTTCTTTCTGTTCCAAGGATTAGAGTAGGACGAGAGGACGAGTAGGAAGCGTAGAACTGAAGCGTATATGATATAAAAACGGTGTGGTTTTATGCTTTTTGTGACCGTACGGGGTACACATTGTACCCCGTACAGTGTATGTACACTGTACAGTATCTAAGATTTGAAAGATACTATATACAGGAGTAAAATGTACTGGATACGGGAATACAATGTACTGGATACAGGAATACAATGAACTGGATACAGGAGTAAAATTTAATGGATACAGGAATACAATGTAATACAGGAGTAAAATGTAATGGATACAGGAATACAATGTACTAGATACAGGAATACAAAGTACTGGATGCAGGATTACAATGTACTAGATACAGGAATACAATGTACTGGATGCAGGAATATAATGCACTAGGAACAGGAATACAATGTACTGGATGCAAAAATACAATGTACTGGATACAGGAATACAATGTACTGGATACAGGAATACAATGTACTGGATACAGGAATACAATGTACTGGATACAGGAATACAATATACTGGATGTACAGGAATACAATATACTGGATTCAGGAATATAATGTACTAGGAACAGGAATACAATGTACTGGATAGAAATAAAATGTACTGAATACAGAAATACAATGTACTGAATACTGTATATCTGTCCTTGTTTATGTTTTACAATAAGTAATTGAATTTAATTTTTTTAATGGTCCAGTGATCAATTCCTGATTCATGATAGCATCTTGATGGATTATCCATTGAACCAGAAAAAAATAAAAAGGATCGCTGAGTGAATTTTTGCATCTATCGATTGACTAACGAAAACCGCACAACTGTAATGTTAACCCAAATTTTGGTAAACTAAACTTGGTGCTACTTAAATAAATGTCGTCATTGCTCTACCGGGATGATCTACCAAAGTGAATGAATACTAAATATAAGCTTATGGACTAATAAGTCGTCTTTATTCTGTCTATTCCACTCAGGGTTATCCACAATGAGTCTCCGGAAACGATTGTACCGAATATCTACTGTTTTTCTTATATTAATGATTCTCTGTTCTTATTCTTGCTTTGTCAAATCATTTAATAGATTATTGAAAAAAAAAACTACATACAGGGTGTCCCACGAAACATGACTGTTGGTGAATAGTTTAAAATGTCTTCTTCCATAATACTTAAGTTGTTTGATATCAAAAAGAATGATAAAGTTTATTGTATGCCAATTATATTATTGTAAAATTGATTTCAAAGTAAAATATATTTGAGAAAAAGATGTTTTTAACGAAATGACATGAAAAAGTCTTTTAATATCCAATATAATAAATGGAAGAAGACATTCAAAACTTTTTAACAACTGTCATGTTTCGTGGGATACCCTGTATATTCTCAAGGCACAAATCTTATTTTAAACCTCGGGATCGAAATATTCTATAGATTCTTGTTAACAAATTAATTAACAAAAATATAGCTATACATAGTTTTTGGACTTTTTAACCCATATCACGGCTAGGAGGGGGGGGGGGTGTTTTTCTCCACCCCTCCCCTTGGTTTATTCTCAATAACTTTGAAACGGCTTACATAAGAACCCTCGAACTTCCTCACTTTTCAACATCATAGTTGTTTACTAATTAGAATACCAAACTTCTTATATATCAATACTCAAATCTTAGGTTTGTTAGATTTATCAAATTGTACCAAATGTCGGTAAATTCACATTGTGAACTAGATCTAACGTGTACATTCAAGAAAAAAAAATTCAAAAGCAAAAATTGGCTTGGTTTGTAGGTTATGTAGCTCTGTGTGCCTAAAGAATTATATGCAAAAAGTCCATTTCAGTTTCTCTCATGGTCAGATTTAGAGATAGAGCTTTCAAAACATCTATAAATTATCTAACAATCATGATAAACAGATTTTTTAATTAGTTTATTAAATGCTCCTGCTGGGTTTATTGTACAATTTGATAAATCTAAAAGACCTAATATTTGAGTAGTTTATAAAAACAAATCTTGTACTTAGTTTAAAATTACATATATTTCTGAACATTGTAGAATTAAAATAATTTAACACATGCATTCCCCGTTCAACAATTAAAAACAAAAATAAAATGGAAATATACTATTCTCGGAAATTTTCTCAGAAAATTTGGAGAATAATCTTGGTCTTAAAGGGACAGACCGGCTATGTAAGGTAGTTGAACTGAGTATGCAGTGTTGTGGACAAATTCTTTAGGATTCATTTGAGAAACTTTTTAAAGATCTGTAAATCCTGAGTTTGAGCGCAAAGTTGACGTTTAAAATCGTACTTTTGGGTGAATACGTTTTCAGAATTGTTTTTCTTTTAATTATTAAATAACGACGACAAAAAATGCAAAACAAATTCTACAGTAAACTAACTAGTCGTTCAGGAACAGGTGAAAAAAAACAAAAATTAATCTTATCATCGAAAATAAGTAATCTTATTCAATTATTAGTTTCTATAACCTCTCATTATTCACAAAGATTTTCTGCAGATTTTCGATAATTTTTATTGAAAAGACGACATTTGTTGAATTTTTAGAAATCTGCAAATAAAGTCATAAAAAATAAGAAATTCAATATAATGATGAAAACGAAATAATTGATTCTAGCATTGATTTATTGACAAATTTCTTTTGAGAAATATGTTCCTAACCATCTAATTTGTAAAAAAAAAACCGATTCTGAAAACGTACCCACCCAAATTCATGATTTTGAACGTCGACTTTGCACTCAAACCTAGTAATTATACATCATGGAAAAGTTTTATATGTCTCAAATGAATCCTAAAGAATTTTTCCACATCACTGCATACTCAGTTTAACTATCTAACATAGCCGGTCTGTCCCTTTAATTACAGAATATAAGACTAATAAATCAATTAAACATAAAAATAACAGATTACACAGATGGGAATATTTTGACATTTCATTTTTGCAACACATCCTCGTAGATGGACCTTGTCAATATATATAACCTAGGTTGTTTCATCCCTAGATACCTCTATAGCTGGGCTTTTTTAAACCATGTCGAAATAGGATGTAGTATTCGAGGTTAAAATATATACAGGACTTCATGATGTAACTACGACATTTCTTATTCTATCTGTGTAATCTGTTTTGGAATTATTCTCTGGTTGTCGCTGCTCTCGCAGAGAAACCGAGATTTGAAATCTCAAGATGGAGTTTTACAACTTTCTGGGTTTACTTTTTAGTTTTTACGCTTAAAGGGACTGTAAACTTAAGTTCAAGTGAAATTACGCAGTCCCTTTGAATGTTTGGGAAAAGGGTGGGAGAGGACTGAGTATGTGAACTATATAATTGAATTACGAATACAATAAAAACACTTTTATTTCTAATTTTATGGTTTTGTGAAGAGAATCAGATATAAGCTGGTCTCCACATGGAACCCGGGGTTCTCTAGCGGAAAATTGGCTCTGTACTAGCTCTCCTTCACGAAAAATAGTGTAACTCAATTTGGTGCTATTTGTAATTCAATTATCATTCCTCCCAGATCCACTTTTATTTTTCGCAAACACTCCCTTCAACTTTCAAGTCATCACTTTGAGGACTTTGGGCGTGGTTAAAATTGACTCCAGAAATTTAGAAAAATTAAAATCCAAGACAATTTTACAAATTAAAGATTTACAAAAATACGAACAAATCTTATCCAAAACTTTATGTATATTTGAGGTTCCAAATGGTTTGATTTTCCTTATTTTTCTGATTTCAAAACTTTCATTCTTTATCAAATAAGATTCTAAATTCTTGAGGTTTAATGTTTGGACGGTTTCGATAATTTGTAAGGCTCTGGATTGGACGGTTAACAAATATTCAATCACTCAACAATATTATAGTTATAAATATACATTAATACACCGCTTAAATATTCCTTAAAGATAATATCACAGATTCATCATGAACTTTAAAAGAGTTTTTAAACCATAAAAACTATTCAAAGTCTTCAAAAATGTTTTTCATTAATGTTAAAATTCCGCGAATTGTTTAAAGCTGATTTTGCCAAGGAAAATATGAAAGAAAAAAAGGAAGTTATTGTTTTCAGAGGGATGATTTGCATTGCGATGTGATAAATTTATATGAAGAGTTTTAAAAATAACCCTGTCGATTTATTAGGAAATCTTTTACTTTACCAAGATGAAAGATTTCTTCAGGGCTTTAAATCAATTCACATTTATGTTTACAATAAGAACAAAAAACTCTGAAATAGGAAGACGACTTTAAATACTCCAATGAACATAGGACGCAGCAACTGTGCACTGTGCAGTGTAAACATTTCCCATTTCACTTAATTAGTAATCTAAGAAGTGTCTAATAAACAATTTTTTATGTAACAATATTATATAAATAATATCATAAGTATTATTAAGTTCCTATTTTAGAGTTTTCTGTTTATTACTGTAGGTAATACATTATTTTTCCTTTTATCTTGCAAATTCAAAGTAAAAATGTAAATTTTAATGTTTTGTAAATTCAATGCGTATTAAATAAATCTAAGAAAATATATTAATTTGCAAAATTTCTGTACAACAATATGTATTGTACAGGATAAAAGCTTATACAGTGTACACAGAGCACAGAAAACTTGTTGATTCAATTAATATGTACATTGTACTTGGATAATAAATGATTGGTGAGGATGATAAATGACTAATGAAGATATGATAAATGACTAGTTAGGATGATAAATGACTAGTAAGGATGATAAATGACTAGTTAGAATGATAAATGACCAGTAAGTATACAGGAAACGATATGATCTAGTATTTTGTAAATTTTTGGACGGTTTATGGTAAGATCTTAAAACGTATCTGCAAAGCAGGTTACTTTAAGAGAATTGGGACAATATCCCAGACATTAAATTTAAAAACATTCATGTTCTCAGAGTTGGAACTGATTCAAGTTCATCCTTCATTATGAATGTCGTCTTCTTGAGCTTAGAAATCTAAAGTTTTAGCACTAACTCGGAAAGAAGGTGTGGGTAATTGTGTTCAACATTTAGACTAGGAAGATCAACAGACCGATCACCATGGGATATTGACATGATCCTGATCATCTGAAATAATAAAAGTTATCAACTCAAAGTTACCCTCGTAATGCTTTTAAAGGAAACTACATTTTAACTTTAATTCCTATATTTATCACTCACCAAGAACTACTTTTTATTGAGCTATCTTTTTTTGTTACCTAAATCATTGTCTAATTGGAACCTTGAGCAGTCACATTTAGCATGTTTAACTGTTGCGAATTGGAACCTTGAGCTGTCACATTTAGAATGTTTAACTGTGGCTAATTGGTACCATGAGCTGTCACATTTAGCATGTTTAACTGTTGCTAATTGGAACCTTGAGCTGTCACATTTAGCATGTTTAATTGTTGCTAATTGGTACCTTGAGCTGTCTCTAATTGGAACCTTTGAGATGGTTCTAATTGGATACATTGAGCTGTCTCTATTTATAACCGTGGGCGGTCTCTCATTGTTACCTATAGCTGTCCTAATTGTTACATTGAGTTGTCTTTATTTGGATACTTTGAGCAGTCTCTAATTGAAACCTTGGGCTGTGTTTAATTGGAACATTGAGCTGTATCTAATTCGAACCTTAAAGAGGTCTNAAGTATATATATGAACTAACAGGCTGTATCAGTGGAAACTGGAAATATAGGATTTGATTTGATTAAGTAAGAGTGTGAAAGGAATCCTTTCAGTAAAGTAAGTTGAAATATTGGGGAAAATAGTATTTTATTCTATTTTAATAATTAAGAAAGAACAAGAGATTAAAGAAATAAGTTAAAATAAGCAATCATTAAAATAAAAATAAGAAAATGTATTAATTATATGAATTCACAGACTATATTATTCCTATATCTGAAGAAATAAATAACATGATTTGATTAAAATGATTAGGAAACAGTAATACATTAATTAATATGTTCATTAAAATAAACAAACATTATAATAAAAAGTGTTGAAATGAACTGACCTGCCTCGTCTAACCATCTGAATCTTTCTCCCTGAACCTAGATCTGAATCCACAGAGTTGAACAAGGAGAAGAGTAAATCCGTGTTTGCTGTACTCATCCTCTCTCTTAGGAACTCCTCAGCTCCGGACCCTGCCACAGCACTGACAGGAGGGGCGTGGTTCTCCAGCTCCCCCTCCTGTCCAGGTAGAGGAGGTAAAGTGGAGAACACTGAACCTGGAGGGAGAGGGTTGGCTAGGTTAGGTTGCTGCCAGAAGGATTGGGGTAGAGCTCGCAACTTCATGGGCAGGGGTTCTGCAATATTATATTGAAAATATTTTTTTTATTGTTAATTAGTTTTTTGTTTGTTTCAAAATAATGACAAACCGCGTTTCCGGTAGTGCTTAAACGTTACATGACCCCAGAAAAGATTTATGACAGGTCAGAATTTAAAAGTGTCACAAAATTTGTACTTTTCGAAATTTGAAAATTCATTTATGAAAACATGAAATCTGTGAAATATGCATTGTAGTACTCTAAGAATGTGCAAAAATGAAAAGCTTGCAGATAGATAGATAAACAACGAAACTAAGATTATTATTACAATATAGTATATACTAAATAAATGTAAGTATATTGTATAAAAGCTGGAAAGCCTTGAATATGTGTACAAGTATAAATAACTAATTTCTGTGCAGCAGTCTTGGAAAAAAAATAAAGTCCGGACTCCAATCAATGAAAACTAGTTTCGCTAAAATAGTAAAAAATCATTTAATGTTAATGAAAGAAAGCACAATAAGGTTGATGCGTACCAGTTAATTAAATTTATCGCACATTTAATTACACATAAAAAAAACAAAAGGTACTGTAAGCGTAATTTCATGTGACAATCCATGCAAAGATGGCAATGCCCGATTCACAACGATACCATTGAAACCTTGATCTGATCAAAAAGTAGAAGATATCGTCGTTCTTCTGACTCGAATAGTATTCATTTCGGTGAGCTTATCCGTTGCTTCTTAAAAACAAGAAATGCGCAAGGCACTTTCGCTAATGAAAATAAACAGTTGAAAGAAACAAAAACATTGATATCTATTTCATACTTGATCAGATAAGGATTTCAAGCGTTGTAAACTTTATTTTGATAAATTATTTTTTAAATCGTCCCCCTACTTATTCTTCCCATCCCTCCCCCCTTTTATTTTGACGGGGTTTGATACAATTATTAATTATGGAACGGTTTTAAAATGATAGGTTAAGCTTTCACTAGTAAATATTATTAAGAAAACAATCATACCTTCGGGGTTATTATTTCATAAATGTCCCCTCCACTGGACATAGGGGGGGTAAAGACAGGAAACAACGCATATGTCGTAAGAAATCAACGATGCACGGGTAAAAATAAATTTGAATTGAGATGGATTTTAAAATGGTTAAAAATCAATAAATTGATTAAATATTAAAGCTTACTGGGATAATCAGGCAATCAGTTCAATATTATCATTTTAAAGAGACATATTTACATATATTTACGAGAAACTTTAAGCTAAATATGATGCCTTATTGTTTATTCTTTAAAAATCTGTTTTCACGGGAAAAGAATAAAAATATAGATGGATACAAAATCAGGTCTTAATTGAAAGTTTATATTTTTGCGTACATTCTCTTAAAAGGAGGTGATCGGGAATTTTCCTTAAGTAAAATTTTCTACCTATATTTGCGGGGTCTGTATATTTTCTTATGGTTAGTTTTCTTTGAATAATGTTTACCCCTTTCTTTTATTGCAAACCCTCCCTTTAAAGTTAATTTGTAAGATTTACCTTTCCTAGATTTGTTCCGTGTTGATGTTAATGTTCCAAGTTTTACTCCGGTAAGTTTACTCCCAGATATCTGCTGCCCCCGGATATCCTGTCCAAACTCACTAAACTCAGGTCGGAGCAAACCTTTCTTTTTCTTCTTTCTCGAATCCTGGTTGTTAGAATAGTTGTCTAGGTAGGGTTGGTTGGGCAGCTTGTGTCGTGATGCCAAACCTTTGGTTAAAATGATCGGTTGAGATAAAGAATGAGTTAGGGGTGAGGGTGGACCTGGGTAGGTTGGAGGAGACCCAGCACTAAGTTGGCTGAGTGGTCGATTAACATCAGGACCGAACCCTGAGTGTCTGATATAGGTTGGACCGGAGCAGGTCGAACCTCCTGGAGATGACACACTGTCATAATCATACTCAGGAGCAGATTCTCCCTCCACGTCCAGGTTAAGTTCCCCTCTCTCCTCCAGGTCATTGGCTCCGAGTGCCTCTAGATCCGTAGATACATCTCCCAGGTCTAGCAAACCATCGTCAAATTCACCCATTTCTTTACAAGGTTTTCTTTTCTCTTTATTCATCAATTTAATCTTCTCATGGGAACACACTACTGCGTAGAATCAAGTTAAATCTTTCAGAATATTCTAATTAGATCTAACTAGGATTAACCCTCACGTTATGACGGACCCAGAGTAAGCTTGTATCTAAAGTTGGGAAATATCTAAGTATATCGACCAAACGTTATGACGGACGGAGTAGCACGCCACGTATAATATCTGATCTAACCGGTGTGTAGGACGAACCTCAGAGTCTCTTTTGGAGGTTTCAAAACCTTTCATGATATGTCAGGAAGTTGCAACATTTATATTTCCTCAGAAAAAATCTAGTGTAACAAAAATGCACCAAATATATAAAGAATTTTCACACAAATTGTTGATTCACAAATCCGTTTAATGCAAATGCAAAAACATAAAATTTGCTATAATCATGATTTGCAAATTTTCTAGGCTAATGCAAAAAATATAATTTTATCTTATCAAAACAATATCTACTACATTTTTCATTTTTTAAAAGAGGGTTAAAAGTAAGGCGCTGAATCTTTAATGTCGCATTTTTTACCTAGGTTCGTTAATAATCTCTTTATTTTTGCTTTTTATGTATAAATATGTAAACAAATTAAATATATTGTCACAAAGAAACTTGCTCATGTTTTCATTTGAAATTTAAGAAATTCACAATTTGAATACGATCACACTAGTAATCTAGTGTTTCTCTAAAATGTATGCTTTCATTTTTAGTTCTAAATCTGGTAGATTATCTGTAAGTTTATATTTTCAATCATCCTTTCCGTACGGAGTAAGCATGAAACCATCCTCAACCTTTAGATAATATTATGAATAATTCAAGAACTAGAGAACTAGAGAAATAGAGAACTATAGAACTATAGAGAACTTAGAGAGCTAGAGAACTAGAGAACTAGAGAACTAGAGAACTAGAGAACTAGAGAACTAGAGGACTAGAGGACTAGAGGACTAGATAACTAGAGAACTAAAGAACTAGATAATAGAGAACTCGAGAACAAGAAAACTCAAGAACTAGGGAAACTGGAGAACTAGAGAACCTGGAGAACTAGAGAACCTGGAGAACTAGAGAGCTAGAGAACTAGAGAACTTATGATCTAGAGAACTAGAGATCTAGAGAACCAGAGAGCTTGAAAATTAGAGAACTAAAGAACCTGGAGAACTAGAGAACTATAAAGAACTAGAGAACTAGAGAACTAGAGAACTAGAGAATTAGAGAGCTTGAGATCTAAAGAACTAGAGATCTAAAGAACTAGAGAACTAGAGAACTAGAGAACTAGAGAGCTTGAGATCTAGAGAACTAGAAAACTAGAGAACTAGATAATTAGAGAATCAGAGAACTAGAGAACTTGAGACCAAGAGAACTAGATAACTAGACAACTAGAGAACTAGAAAACTAGAGAACTAGAAAACTAGAGAACTAGATGATTAAAGAATCAGAGAACTAGAGACCAAGAGAACTAGATAACCTAAAGAACTAGAGAATTAGAGAATTAGAAAACTAGAGAACTAGAGAACTAGAAAACTAGAGAACT